GAAGAGGAATGGCGCCAAGTTGACTATCTTCTTTCAATCACCCAGCCATTCTTTAGCTTTACCGATGAGGTCTCCAAGAGCAGGGATATCACTATCCACACCGTCTTTGGCATCTACAACGCCCTCTTTGCTCACCTAGAGAAGTCAAAAAGACAGCTAGTGCGAAAGCAGACCAAGTGGAAGACTGTGATGCTTAGAGCACTTGAATTTGCAAGGAAAAAGCTTTCGCAGTACTATAGGGCGACAGATGATATTGGCGATGATCTCTATCCGATTGCTACCATTATGGCGCCTCAGAATAAGATGGAATTCTTTCAGAAGCCAGAGTGGGAGCTAGAGTGAGGAATACTAATACAGCATCTGAGCCGAAGCAGGTAGCCAACGAGAGTGTTCTTGGTAAGAGACCAAGAATCGAACCAACAGCAACAGCTCTACCTAGTACCCAGACGCCGCACATTCAACAAGACGGGAATAGTGAGAATGAGGAGGATGGGATACCTCTTCCAGAGAATAGCTATACCCAAAGGCGTACATCTGGGCGGGTTCCTAAGCGTATACGAAGAGATGAAGATTTGTATGAATATCAAAAGCTATAGAAAAGATAGAATTTTAGTTAAATGCTATTACATTACGTTGAAGTCTGCCTAAGCTACTTTATTTCTATCTCTTCTTTCTGAGTAGAGATGTAAGACGAATACCTAAAAGTACGGACCAAAACTGCATAAGATATGCAGGCCACGGGACTTCCCTAGTTTGCAGCGTTTGAGGAACCTGCAGGTTCTTAATAAACCTGCAGGGTTGGTTCCAAGAGCTCAAGTGTAGAATCGCGGTTCTAAAGACCTAGAACCTGAACCGGGTCTTGGCGGTTCTGGAACCGGACCGGACCTGGAGAGTCGCGATTCCTGTCGAGGTCTATACCGGTGTCATCACGGTCTTACAGGCATAGACAAATGGCTTCACGTCACTTAACTCACACCATCTCAATGTGCTCATCGCCAGTGTCTTTCTTCAAACGTGCCCGGTCATCATAGCATCTTCTGCCCCGACCCATCACCCGCAAAGAATCCATGCAGCCCTGTTGTTGGTTATTTGACAAGTGATATCTTATGTGTACAGAGTAGTAAACGCAGAAATAGCCCGGGCAAAGCAGTGAGAATGCCCGCTGATTGTGGCTTCTACTATCTTTGATTCCCTGGACCCGTGAGATGGTGCCACTAATCCCTTTTGGGAAGTTGACCAGGGGGTTTAACTTGCAGTTATCTCAGTACTTGAATATATATCAAAACAAAAATTATGACTTTATATTCAATAATTATTCCCCAGTACAGGAAGAATGAGGCTTATTATCCCCTTCCAGTACTTTCGGCTCGTCTTGTTACTTTATATTATGCAATAATGTGATATATTTCCTGCAGGAAGAGGAGTTAGTCCGCTCAAGTACTTTCTCCCGTAGATAAAAGCAAGATATACATATACAATGACCATCCTCCCGGCCGACCAGCAGCAAGCGTGCTACACTCTTCCCTTCTATTCAAAGCCCAGAGAACAAATACACATTACAACGACTTGCATGATAGTTCTAAGCTATTTCACAATCCTCTAGAAAGTCGGTGTTCGGCACCTGATATTATATATATGCGCGAATGACTTCGCTTGACCGGTCAACCCGGAAGTAACCCACCTGCCTGAAGACAGGCAATAGAGTTCGTAATCCTTCACAGGATAAGGTGAGGGACAGAACCAATCATTGTCTTGATTCGCATCTTGTGCTCCAGATGTAAAATCTCGTGTGCAATGGGCTTGAAGAGACCGGCAGGGTAAATCTTCCATCAGCGACATACCCATCCAAGCTATCCGAAACATAGATACATGAGTTTGCACGGCGCGACTTGCCCGGCATGCACGGAACTGCAGCCCAAGGGACTGACCGACAGGCGATTGCATGCATTCTGTGACGGTTTTTGGCAGTTGCCACTCCATCATCTCACCTGATCCGTTTGTTTGGTTCGTGCCCCTGCCAAGCAGTATGTACTCATTCCAATTACGAGACCCAAAAGAGCCCCGTATCAGTATTTATTGTCACTACCTCCCCGTGTCGGGATTGGGTAATTTGCGCGCCTGCTGCCTTCCTTGGATGTGGTAGCCGTTTCTCAGGCTCCCTCTCCGGAATCGAACCCTAATTCCCCGTTACCCGTTGCCACCATGGTCATGTAAGATGGCCCTCCATTGGGTTGGCTCGCGCGTCCCCCACATTGACTTCTCAGGCAGGCGCGTTCCAACGGGCAAGCCTGCGCGTCACTGACCGGGTATGTCATCGCCTTCTACTCCCCCGGCTTCGCGACCCCCATTCGCTCGCCTCGTCCGCAGATTTCGAAGCGATGCGTGTCCTCAAACGAGGCAGAGCAAAGCCAGCGACCAAAGCTTTGATGCTGATCCAAGGGACCCGGGCCACCGGACTATCCGACCCGAGGGCCAGGAAGAGGCCGAAGACGATAGACTGCGTTTGAACAGCTTCCTCAACCTCAGATACCTTTCAATATTGCCCTTGTTGGTTGTCCCCCACCCGCAACCCCCCGTGCTGCAATCGCTTCCTAGATTGGCGACTTCCGCTCTGGATTGACCGCAGCTACACCAGGGACGGTCCACCATAAGGATGGTGTGGTCGGGATGGCATAGGGTTCATGTCGGGTTAGCCTATGTTTCATAGGGCCTTTGAGATCTATCCGACGCGGTTTCAGGTTACATGATTTCCTGATGTGTGGCAGCCATGTTAACATCCGCTAGAGATCATTGGAAATGCCCTGGACTCTGGTACTTGGTTGCCGGTGCGAAACGCTGCTATAATGGGCTGTAAGACCGGGCTGTTGTCCACATGAAGTGTTTGCCTAAACAAGGATAACCATTTATACACAGACATGAATAACCACTGTCTTGATTGTCAGGTTATTCTCGGCTGACTGTCTGACATAAAATAGCCCCAGTTGAAATTCTGTGATATTGGCTGCATCCACTCTTCTATTATAATAGCAATATAAACTGGCTAGATAGTATTTGGCTATAGATCTTATACAAACTTGAAGTATATGTTTCTCTGATATCAAGGTATACCTGCTTTCTGAAATAGAGATTAAAGTACTTGCTAATAACCAGTCTAACATACCTAGCGCCTTAGTCCCAGACAGCTTTATTAACCACTGAAGTGTTATATATATTTCATAGGCCTCTGATTCCAGGGTTGGCTTGTCCTAACCTCTGTTATGCAGATATATCAAGGAACCAGTCTTGTCAGCTGTACTGTCTGGCCGGTTATAGTGCCAACATTGCGATGGCAGGTGTTCACGGTCCTACCATTGCTGATACTACCATAATCTAAAGGCATATCCTGCAATAGGAGTCTGCTCTTGCTATCAGACGGGCTGTGCACTTACAAAGATACTGCAGGAGCAGAGCACTATGGATAATGTGTTACAGACCCTTGTCTAGTGCACCTTATCGGGGAAAGCCGACGCGCAAGGCAGAAAGTGATAGGACTACAATGACGGAAGGACAGACAATGGCTACCCGAGAGATAAGATAAGAAGAGTCTCCAAGGTCATGTGATACATACTCCGTTACCTACCCCCATGGGAGTATACGATGGAGTATACAGAACTACACACGGTGATTGGATATACCCTGAGACCTACCCCTAAAGGAGTCACTACAGGAGTAGCCAAGGATAGATATATAAAAATACTTATTCTATATACTTAGTTTAGTTCTTTATAATTAATCTTAACTGTTACTTAGGATATATCTTTAGTATTAAGTTAGTAATTAACTTATTTATACTTTCTTAATTACTGAGTATATATACTTAGTAGGCCAGGCCTTTTGGACTTAAGTTATTCAGTTATTTATTCACAGTATAACACTCGGACCTTAGATTAGATTATATTATTGGATCCTGGATTGGATCATATCTCAGACCTTAAACTAGGTCACATTATCGGTACCATCGCTTATCGTCACTAGGCTGACCGTTGGGACGGGATAATCCTAGGGATTTCGGGATGGGATGGGATTTTGGGATTTTGGGATGGGAAACGGGAATCCCGTCCCATCCCAAAATCCCAAAATAGTGCCAAGACAAGGATGGGAATCCCATCCTATTTTAAAATTAGGATTGGGAATCCCGTTTTGTGCGGTTAAACGGGATAGGATTCCCGTTCTAGCCCTATGTTTGGGATGGAATAGGAAACGGGATGCCAAGAGGGAAAACAGGATGGGATAGGAAATTCCTGTCCTATCCTATTCTATTCTATCCTATCTGAATAGTCAGCCTACAGTGATTTATCTATCACTAGACCCTGACCTACAACATGATGGCCAGATGCTAGATAAGTAATAGGCGAGAAACTGAATATCCTGAATAAAATAACTTTACTAATTATAAAGAGATACTGCCTATTTCCTTAATATAATATTCTAAGATTACTATACTCTAAGCTTTGTCTCTATAGTTTATTAATCAGTATAATCTAGAGTTACTATCATTTTTCCTAGCAACAATTCGCTCTTATCTTACTATATTACAGGCTGCAGCCTGCAGATTAGTCTATTTATTATTCAAGAATAATATATTATATTTAGGCTATATAAGTCCTAAGAAGTATTTTCTATTATAAAAGAGAGAATAGTCTCTATATAAATCTTATATATCTAGTGAACAATATATTAATCTGCTGGTGCCTTGGACTGAATTACTATTAGAGGACTATCACTTCAGGTGCCTTAGCTTTTATGGCTGCTGCAGGGATTGGCTGGGTATGACTAGAGCCAAGGGCCCTTATATCTCACGAGAAAGCGTGTACTTCTCACTGTCCCTTGACCCACCTGATCTACCGCTTGTTGTTGACTTCTAGCTTGTTCGAGCTGGCGCTTCAGCTTTGGCGCCTCCGCGGTAAAGTCAATATACGGGGTGCCACGTGAGCGTGCAGTCATTCTCCGTGGGCGCCTTCTGGGAGTTAGGGTGCTGCCACAAAACTTAGTCTTACGCCGGCAAGGCATCAATCAGGGCATGCCTGCGGATGGACGGCTGTTGGCACTAACTGGGCGGTTTGTAGTTTGGATCCTCGAGAAGCTGTGGAGAAATGGGCTTCCGAACGGGGACTAGCCTGGCTCAGGGCATCTCCGGTGTCCTGAGGCTTTTCGCGCGGCGAATCTTGTTTTTCGCCTGTCATACCAGGTCTATCGCCATCTGACTCCAGCTGCTTGATCAGCCACGATATCGATGGTATGGACAGCCCTATCGTCGTGAAAGGAGGTGCCACCAGGAGCTCCTCGTCACTACTACTCTCATTAGGTTTCATTAGGTTCAGGAAAGTGCTTCATGGGTGCTGGGTGTATGAGTGAGCGGTCCGCGAAGACGATTGTGACATGCGTACAACATCCTTTCAAGTATTGCCGAATACGTGCCATCATACGACGCACAAGTACGTTCTGCTTCACAGAAGGAGACCATTCAAAAACTTGCCTCCCTGTGGATAGTAGTCACAAATTGAGGGATGATAGTCCCCTCAGGACCATGACTCTTTGGCGGGGTGATGCTCACTGTGGCTACTCATTTACCCACCGACTTTCGATTGTTCCTGAGAGTCAACACCTAGGTCTCGGGATCTTCCAGGTCCCATGATCGTGGTAAATTCCCGTATGATACCTACGATGGCCAAGGGGAACATTGTTAAAAATAAGCAAGACTAGGCCATTTGTGACCAAATTCGTCGGACTTTCATAGGTATAGTATCGTAACGCTGGCCGGTCAAGGGTCGAGATGAGTGGTAGACATAAAGGAAGCTGTCGTCCAGAAAAGTACAGCCAGAGGTCTGTATATGATCAGTAGACAAAGGTTGTCACATAGGCCGCCGCATATGGCCGTTCCAAACATCGTCCATGCCATCCTGGCGTAGATACTCCTGTCTTTAGCAACTGCCCGTGCCCTGCTGTCAACCCAAACGTTTAGACAGCACCCGCTCTATCAATGCGTTGATGCTACTTTCTCGGTGGTCCTTGTGGGCCTTCTCATAGCAGTAGTGGCGCTCCGTTGGAGCTGTTCCTATCCGCTCAGTTGAGTTCCCATCGGGCAAGGCCACAAGAGATCACCACTGACGATTCTGTGACAGGGGCAGAAATTATGACGTCTATGACGGGCTTCTTCCCACCAGTTCTGGAAGTGAGTGACTATGCACGAGGATAGGTCGGGTATACGATGGACAAGAGCTGATAAACCTGTAGTTTCTTCGACTACACTTCATCCTGTCCGACATACCGCTGTTTGCAGCCCGGGTGAAGATGTTTTACGCATTGCTATGTGTTCTCCACACCACCAAGGCCGCGACGGTGCTCGTCAGTTACCTGACTTATGATCCGGCTGGTTATGCCCTGCTGACCTCCCCTACAACACTATGAAGGCGTGAATGTTCACCGGTCAACTGAGGCGTTTGGCTTTTCCAAAGATACACCGGTGAGACGAGGAGAACGTATCAATAAAAATTTGGGGGGTGTGAAAAGCCAGAAAAGGGGAAAAGTGGGAGTACCGGTGGCCGATGCAGATGCCTAGGTATCTGTGTGGGATTCCATGACCTCTCCCCCAATTAATTTGAACCGAAGAAACAGAAGAAAGGCGTCTGCAACGCACAAATCCGACTACTATCCCCTTTGCATCCTGTCTGACAGAGGAAAGGGCCGCCTTGTCTGTTGCCATTGACCGCAAGACGACGTGAGTGTTTCTTTGCTGAGGACATCAGTCAGGCCTAATCTATATAACTATGCGAAGATGGATGGTAGGTTTTGGCTCTGGTTTTTATCGACGCAATCCCGTTTCCACCGTACCGCTACATTATCGCTACAACACTGTTGACAAGCCTGTCTCTCGGTATGAAGAGGCCGAGGTGCTTCTGTTGTTCGCGATGGCTATCTCTACGACTTCAAGCCGCCCTACAATAAAGCGGCTTACCTCGATCGACAATGCCCGAGGGTAGCCACCCATATAAGCCCCGGACCCACCACAGCAATCACCACACCGAATCGACGAGAGCACGGAGAATGACCAACTAGTTTAGCAAGACAGGTATAGCGGGCTGATCCTTCGGGTTAGTGCACCCTGGTCTTCTCGAAGGCAAGAGCAGTCCTGATGACGGCGTTGCATTTAGTCGCCAAGTATGCTTGTGCGGTGGTGAACGTCTGTATGCTGGCTGGGAAAGGCGTGGGCATGAGAGGGAGGGAGACGAGGGGCTGTCCTCTCGTCGACTACGAAAGTACGAACGGTCATTAGCCCGCTGCCTGCTCAGTACTATAATACAATACCCTATGTGACTATGTTCCTCTCCCAGGGGAATCGGGAATGTCATGAATCCTCCACTCCTCCCCCACCTCAAACAAACTCGTGGTCGGGCATCTATTCGAAATCCAGGGACCGTCGAGATGACCTTCGGGATATATGGGTAGTTCTCCAGAAAACGACCAAAACAAGCAGAATCCCCACCAAAGTCGGCGTGGGTATCTCGAAAGAAGCTAAAGCCGCGGAAGAAAACCGCTCTTACTAAAGGAGGTACAGTATGCGATGGGGCTTGTATGCTTCTGGTAATTGAATGTCGTCAACATGAAACTGCTGGTTTCATACAGCATCGTTCTGAAGCCACATTTTGTACTCCGTACGGTTGAAGTCAGATTCTGTCTATGTCATGGGGATGAAGCGCACAGACCGTTCTGACATCCTAACAACGTCTCATGCTGATGCTCAGCCAATAAATCTACGCCAACGCCAACGCCAACGCCCTGTCGGTTGTTGATTGGCTTTAACTATTCAAGAAAAACTTGAGGCCCAATCTCTTATCCCTTTTCATCGTTTCAGGGCCGCAGCGTGCGAAGCGCGCACCTCCCAGTTCTAAATATATTTATATTTCCACCCCGCCAAATAGTCGTACGACACTCGTGCATGAAATGAAGGCTTGGCGTTAGGGTTTAGAAATAAGCTTGACTCCGGGGGGCGGAGACCAATCAATCAGTATCTCAACTGGGTTCGGGAAAGTTGTTATGGTTGGGGAAATCGGGACTACAATGCTGAGTTGTGAGGATCATCACGGCGGGATATAGGAGGTTAGAGCGGCCACCTGATACACTGTTGGGTTATGTGTAGGCCGGAGATTGTAGCGAAGTAGCATAATGATATGAAGCATCACGGAAACGATTAGTGAATGACCCGGCTTGGCTGACATGGCCTTGGAAGGATGACGCCAAGAGGCAAGAAGCTGGTATTTCACCGAGATAACGCCGAGGCGACGGGAAGATAACATAATCAACCGAACCCTAGGTGCGTGAATATACTTAATATACTTCACTGGTGGATTAGACATACATATCTCAAGCACTATCCTCCGATTCTATATAATTAAACCCAGGACTACATAGCTTTCTGATTAGTATGGTCGGTAATACCTATCGCATCAAGCACACATTTGATCTTAGAACAGCGGAAAGCGCGATGGATACAGGGTTTAATACATTCCCAGATCGAGCCGAATAGACTTGTTAGGCCCGCGGGTTGGGCCGGGTTTTTGAGGTTGTTCAACCCAGCCCGTTGGGTTTGGGCCGGGTTAAGATGATATACAAACCACCACCCACGGGTCAAGATATATATATATGAACCACCCGCGGGGGCCCATAACTGTAGATCCTTTTCTACTATAGTAATGATTTACATTCTTTATATAATACAGTCTTATAATACAGTAATTTATTTATATTATTATAGGTAAATAATATATTTACAGTATTTTTTATCTTGGCAACCCGCCGGCAACCCGCCGGCAACCCGCTGACCTGTGGGCCACCCAGGGAAGAAAGCCGGCCCATGCCGGGTTATTGCATTGGTCAACCCATCCCATTTCTTGGCGGGTTGGGCCGGGTTGGGCCGGTTTTCGTGGGCTGGGCCTAACAAGTCTAGAGCCGAAGTCGAATATCTTCAGGTTAATAGGGAAACAATGGAATGAGCTACTTCGCCGTCTCAGAGACGCATTTTCTGGTTGAAAGGAATGGCCAAAAGCTTCTATAGGTTTAATAACAATATCATATTAGATAATAAAATGAAGATTTGTACCTCTTAACGTCCTTCGCCGTGCCCAAAACTCACGCTAAATCAATGCCGCTCTATACTCACCTACCATTGGATAAGAAACCACAGTTTGCACGGTGCCCCTGGAAGCCATCATGACGATGACGGCAGATTTTAGTCCTGCAAGGCTATCATGGCCCGCACGTATAAATTTATGGAAGACGGGTAATTGGCCTAGAGAAAATAGAGTGGAACTTAATTTCAGAAAGCGGCAGCAGGGTGAGCGAGGCATTAAACTACGTATTTTTAATTCCTCCCCAAATCCTTCGGCTGATGACGCAGATGGTTCATTAAATATAACGGGATCAATCATGGACTCCCGAAACATTCGACGACGCCGAAACCCTCAGGCTTGTGGCACCTGTCGGGAACGACGGACGAAGTGTGATGGTCAACGACCGAAGTGCTCCTTTTGCCGGGAGCGTGCAAAAGACTGCTCTTATCCGGAGCTGCTAGGGAACCCTACTACACCGTTAGTATCTTCGTCCGATCCGGGACATCACTATGTTCTCTGACGGCCATTGCAGCTTAGAGCAGGAGTTATCTAGGATTCGGGATCAGATAGATCAGATTATTGCTGCCGTCGAGGCGGCGGTACCCAGACAGGGTGGCTCGCCACAAAGACAATTTCCTGGTGACCACGGAGAGACCTTAGACATGGTCCGAGGATTCCCATTTATGACTATCCGAAATGAAGTGTTCATGGCACTTTTAGGGTTAGACCGGACTTTCTCGTGCCGTGTCGAGCAGGTGGAACGGAGAAGAGACGCAGTTGCATCTCCAACGTCCCAAATCCCTAGACTGGTCATTCCTCATAAGCATGCCTTTCAGTGTGTACACTTCACTCTCTATCTGGTCTTTGGAATCTGTGTTAATTGGACCCTAATCACAGCCTGTTAAATAAATTTGCCGAGCACATCCATGCCTGGTACCCAGTTCTCCACGGCGATTTTCCTATTGAGTTTGCCCATGCCATTACGAACGGCTTTCCAACATCATCGGAATCCTGCCTCGCGCTTCTGGTTTTAGCTATCGGAAGTTTATTTGCAGACGGCGCTTTTTCACACCGACTAGATAAGTCGGATGAGAACTCATATATCAAAGCAGCTTTGGGAATGCTCCCTTGCATAGTAACGGATGGTGATGGTATCCGTGCCATGCAGTGCCTTTTGCTCTTCAGTATCTACTTCCTATGCTGTGTCAAACCATGCCAAGCCCACAACTTTGTGTCCTTAGCATCTTATCATATACAGGATAGTCTGAGCATGTAAGTACCTCCGAGTAATTTCATTAAATGAATCTTCTAACTTCACTACCATGGTTTCTGTAGCAATTGCGATTGGGAAAAAGAACAGCCAAGTATTGTCGGAAATTGCTACTGGGTTTCATTGTTAATTGAAAGGTTTGATGCGCTCCCAAGATGGCTGCAGCCATTACTAACCATCATCTAGTGAGATACTGGTTCAACTGGAGCTGGAAAATAGTGGCATTTGGGACTTGAGTCCGATCGCTCCGATGCCGACCAGTCGCGGCATTTGGGAATTGCCATTTGATCTTTCAGCGGGGCAATCACCGTCATGCTCTACATTTACTGGTGACAGGGATGATACATTGACAAACGAGCCATTGGCCGATTTGTCATACTTCGTAACTGAGATTGCCATGCGGAAGATGCTCCGGAGGTGCATTCTGTCGGTGAGAGAAGTTTCGGGGGGCAGTTTTGAGTATGCACCCATCGTTGCTGCCGAACTTGATCGACAACTAGAAGAATGGCACAATTTTCTCCCTGAGAGATTCCAATTTCTCGGCAAAGAACTGGAAGCGACCTCCCCGGGCTCACCCCAGGTGCAATTCCTGAGCACACAATACCACGCGTTCAGAGCATCAGTATATTGGCCTGCCGTCTACCAAGCGTCTTCGAGAGGGGAAGTAGACGATACTCTGCTCCCTCATTGCCTCCAATTCTTTGAAAGCTACTCCGCTTTTATTGGCAGTGCTGCGTGCGCCGTGCACAGCTGTAGGCTTAACCTCTGGACCTTGTGCACCAGGTACGTTCAACCAAGATCAACGTTGATTAGTACGCAGAGAAGGCCAATCTAACGCATTATTATACTCCACTCATAGTATATTCACAATTTCCATGGCAGCCTTAGTGACATCGAAAATTACATGCCTTAGCGCTTTGGTGTCATCCGGTCTCTTGCCATGCTTTCAAACAGCGGTCCGAGTCTTTCAGAGTGTGCGCCACACAAGTCCTTCTTTGGCTGAGTTTGCACTAATTCTGGAGGAACGGGTCTCTTGGTGGCTATCGTGCACAGGATAGACGGTAACTATACCATGGATCTATGATGTTATTGCTTGATAACCCTGCCTGCGGGCAAACCCGAGCCTATTGCCGTTCATTTAGTGCCTCAAAACCATCGTGTAGCGTGCCATTTCGCCCTGTACCAATTAGACTGAAGATTAATAAGCAGGAACTAATACTTCAAGGGAACTCAAGTACACAAGATCTGCATACACTACGCGAAGAAAAATGCGTACTGCGCGAAAATATACGGAGCGTTCAGGGCGCGTAATCAACAACACCCTACGTAAAGTCGGTGGATGAGACTCATGGGGGGAAACGTTTGGGCCAAAATCACAGATACGGATACTTGCTGACCGGTTGGTACCAAGTTGGAGAGAGTCCCACTGGGGACAACCGGGAATGGCAAAGGTGATTTGCTCATCAATGTGGTAACTGCCAAGTTCACAGAGCCTTCTAGCGATCCCAATTGCAGATTCGGCTTCGCCGCAGGCGATAGATGGTGTCACCCCATGTGTTCTCGAGGACTCTTCAGATTCGTCGCCCATTGGAAGTATTTGGTGACCGAGGCCGGGCTGGACTGGGTGCATTGCTGCCAGAGCTACGAACTGCATCCCGCGACTGTTCGTCAGAATTCTCTAATTGAAAACCGGTCTGCTTTCGCCGACCTCTCGAAGCCTGTTTGGATTCCGCGCGCCTGGTACCACCTCGATATCAGTATGGCGGGTTCTTGTTTTTCCTTCCGGGTTACGGCTTACCTTCGGGCACTTTATTGGGATTACCGCTATCATTCGCGTCAAATTGACACCAAGGGCCGCAAGATGGCTCTCGAGGGACACAGGTTCACAGCTCAAGAGGCTTGGAATGATGGGATTGTGGGCGAGTTAGCGCCAGAAAGCTTAGCAGAACATTCTATGTCTATGGCTGAACGGATATACTCTTTCGGCGCGCATGGAGTGTCTGTCTGATGAGGAAGGAGCTCCTAGGCGATGCACTCCCCAAGCTTTTAAACAATCGCATGTGAACAAGATGCTTATTGGAAATAGACCACTACATGCCAAATCCCATTTGAAACAGTCTTATCATTCAACGGCATTTTTATAGCACATACAATTTTCTCTTAGCAATTGTCGTCCCATCCGTATCGTAGAGGCTTCTCGTGGGTTAGTAATTTTATTAAGACTAGGTTAAAAGGCACTTCTTTAACTATTCAACCTTCCATATTAGTAGCTAAAGCCCGGATACTGTGTCCAGCACGAGGTGGTTAATATTACTGATAATAATAAGAAAGAGTAGGCGATTTATGTTCGCCTATATGGTTAAGCGGCATTGAGTCGGCCTGTAGCAATTATGAAGTATATCAAGGACCGAACTATTCCCAAGTTTAGAGCCTAGTTTTCATTATCTAAATGTGATTTTCCCTCCTGTACCCGAATGATTAACAGACCATGGCACACGTATACAAGATGACTACGTATACTACGGTATCATAAGCTCCTTGATATGCAAAGGATAGTACTATTATGCGCGCGATATTTCGAGGTACATCCAATAGTACGACGTCCGAAAGCTGCGTTCTGCCCGAACATGCGTGACCAGGGCAGGCATTTGCTTGACCAGTCACAAGCTAGTTTGTGAGATAAGGCCCCCAAGGAGACAGCTTGTTGTCACGGAACCACCTCTTCTCATCCTCAGAGCCTGTCAGAGAAACCCTGAAATCATTAACATGCATAAATTCCCGCTCTAGCTCCTCGCCATTAATATCCTAATTATAATCTTTATCTGTAATATGCGGCTTCAACGTCTTGTAGATAGTATTCATAAAGTAAGTTCTCTTCAGACTCTTACCAGGAGAAAAATGCCCAGTAATATAGCTAAATATAAGTCTAATAAAGGGCTTCACCCTGTTCACTAACTATCTAAATAGATATAATAAGTAAATTAAAGATTACTGAAATCTTTATATATTTATACAGAAAATTCCAGCTCAGTATATAGTATTGGCAGACATCTCTATAATAAAAAATAATATAGAACACTGGCAGTCTGGCATATATATAGATTAATATAATTATCTTTGAGAGTTCCTCTTTATAACCCAGGTCAGTGAATGTCCCAGTTGGGTAGTAGATTCTCCAATCCAGTATAATAGATTTGATTTTATAAATAAAAACATGCAATAATTTCCTTATAGACAGGTATTTTAATAGCAAGCCGAGTGTAATCTCTTTATAATATATTAATATACACTCTCTTAATAATAAATAAAGAGGAGATAGCTACTCATTCTCTGGCAGCCAGTAATTAGTGACCAATATTTTAACCCCGCACAGTGGCAGTTAGACTTGTTAGGCCCAGCCCACGAAAACCGGCCCAACCCCGGCCCAACCCGCCAAGAAATGGGCTGGGTTGACCAATGCAATAACCCGGCCCACAGGTCAACGGGTTAGCCCGCGGGTTGCCAAGACAAAAAATACTGTAAATATATTATTTACATATAATAATATAAATAAATTGCTATATTATAAGACTGTATTATATAAAGAATGTAAATCATTACTATAGTAGGAAAGGATCTACAGTTATTGGCCCCCGCGGGTGGTTCACATATATATCTTGACCTGTGGGTGGTTTGTATATCGTCTTAACCCGGCCCAACCCGCGGGCCTAACAAGTCTAGTGGCAGTTCTACATACCTGCAAGATATATGCGGGATAGTATTATCATATTAATAATCTGGAATTAGTACTCTAAGGCACTACAAGTTTAAATATGGCTGGTCACTAATACCTTAGCAGGATCAGAATAGATTATACATATCTCATAATAATGCCTCTAGATAATTTTTAAGTACAGTACTCTCAATGAGTGATCAAGTCCAAGACCGACAATGGATCTAGGGACGGTAGATCCTGACGACTGACCATTAGAAGATTGAGTCCGTTCGACCAGTCCCCTCCTGACCGTATGTTGAGCTTTCTTACAGTCAATCCCTTCGGTTCTACAGTATATTCTGTAAAAATTCTACCGTTTACACTTTAAGCGTCTCTCCATTACCAGGAAAACTATAACGAAAAAGGTAGACTCCGGCAACGTCCTCAGTATGCATGGGTATCCACATATCCTCTCCGCAAAGTGCGGATATACCGAATGATCACTAGTCATAAATTGAATGGTTGTTTGGTATCTCTACCTACGTAATTGCCTAGGTAGCTGCTTAGTTCTAGCCATACGAAGATGATTAATCATCAAATTGTGGTTATGCCGTCTTCGGCTAATTGCAAATTGCAAGGACATAATGTCATTTGCTATTTAGCGTTACTCATTGCCTTTTCTAAGGCCTTCCGGACGTTACGTTGCGATTCTGGAATCTACAGTATAAATCTCTCACAGAATGCCTCCAACCGTAAGCCCATCCAAAGCAGGTAGCCATATCGAAGAAAGGCCACCGGCCCCGGATACAAGACGCTTATCTTGGGAGGATCCTAATGAGAAGAGAAACCCTGCCAATTGGAATATTAGTCTGAAAGTCTTCCATACGTTCATCCCCTGTGCTTTAGCCTTTTGGATGTATGCACCCTTTATCCTTTCTTTTGCAACCTTGGCTTTGAGTAACCTGACAAGACATTGCACAGCACCTTTGGTACATCGGTTGTGGTGCCTGCCACCGGATTAATCGCCATCGAATTCAACGTCGGTCGGACAGAGTCCATTCTTACCCTTACTCTTTATACGCTCGGAATAGCCCTTGGACCTGCTTTCATTGCCCCTTTATCCGAAACTCTGGGCAGAAAATGGGTGTACGTGATTACTGCTCTATGCCTCCTTGCTTTCACTGGGGGTGCCGCGGCCGCACAGAATCTGAGTACCCTTCTAATTTGTCGTTTCCTGGCCGGCTTTCTTGGTTCGGCCGGCGTCGCCACAGGGGCCGGCACAATTGGCGACGTGTGGGCATTAGGTAGAACAGGAGGAATCGTTTCCTTGTTCTTCATTTTGGGACCCTTCTTAGGCCCGAGTCTCGGACCGCTCGCCGGTGCCTATATTCTGCACAATCGCCAAGGTGACTGGCGGTGGACACAGTACCTACTTCTCATCCTGGGAGCGCCGATTTTCCTGGGCACTCTTGTAATGCGCGAAACTATGAAGGAGCAGATTTTACGAAAGTCTGACAGGGCTGTGGCAGTCAATGAAAGGGGGAGTCAGACAACGACTTTCACTCAGATTATGCGCTACTCTATAGTTCGACCCGTTCAGATGCTGTACAACGAGGCCATTGTTTTGTCGCTAACTATTTACACGGCATTTGCGTATGCGGTAACCTTCAGCTATTTCGGCAGTGCGACGTACGTGTTGCAGCTGGAGTATGGACTTGATCTCCGAGAAGCTGGGCTGGGCTTCATCAGCGTTGTCATCGGATATTTGATGGCCATCGTGACTTTCATTATGTTTGACAGGACCCTGTACGCCAAGGCCATCCAAGCTGCAAACGGTAACCCTGCGCCTGAACATCGATTGTATACCGGGATGGTGGGAAGTGTTCTTCTTCCTGTTGGGCTTTTTTGGTAAGTATCTTCAGCTCAATACCCTCTGGTTTATATACTAACGTGGGGTTAGGAATGCGTGGGAAGCCCATCGTGGAGGCCATTGGGCTACCCTAGTCGCTGCTGGGATTCCCTTTGGATGGGGCGCATTCTCCCTGTTCGTAAGTCTAGATTCTCTGATGGCAGGTATGAAGGTGGCGCAAGTCAGAAAGCTGACCCAGTCCCTCAGTTATCCACAATTATATACATGGCCCAAGACTATCGCGCGGAAGCTGTTGCCTCAGGTAAGCGTTGCATTGAGGAAGCGTGTTGAATGATGGCATCCACTAATAGAGCCCTATGAAGCCCTCGCAGCCAATGGAACATTGCGATACACCCTCGGAGCTGTTTTTCCACTCTTTACCATTCAAATGTATCAAAATCTGGGGATTAATTGGGCAGGAAGTGTTTGGGCATTTATTTCGGTTTTACTTCTCCCTATTCCTTGGCTCCTATTCAAGTACGGAGACCGGTTGCGCGAAAATAGTCAATTTGCCCAAGCAAAGAACTAATCTGAATATCATGACGCCCTAAGTACTCCGCAAGAGCAACCAGTACATATACATAATCCGTTCCTAGATCTAGACGCCAGGCTTTTCATAGTTCTCGTTAGCTGCTTCCACGCACTACCCCATCCTCCCACTTGTTCTCAGACGTCATGACCACACAAAAGGCAGTTATCATTACGGAGCCGAAGAAGATTGGCCTCGTTACCGATTGGCCTATCCCTTGCCTTCGGGAAGATTATATTCTTGTCAGGACCGTTAGTGTCAGTTTGAATCCTACCGACCGGAAGCACATTGCATTCCTCTCCCCCTCTGGTGTGCTGGTAGGGTGCGACTATGCTGACATTGTAGAAGCCACCGGTAAGGATATCAAGAAGCTATTCAAGAAGGGCGATCGTGTCTGTGAATTCACTCATGGCGCCAACTCTGCCCAGCCTGAGGATGGTGCCTTTGCCGAGTATATCATGGCCAAGGGTGACCTACAGATGAAGATCCCCGATAATATAAGTTTCCAGGATACTGCTATCCTGGATATCGGTATTAACACGGTTAGCCAGGCTCTTTACTAAAGTCTGAAGCTGGCCCTACCTACTAAGCCTAGGAAAGAGACTACGCCTATCCTAGTATTAGGGGCTCTACTAAAACTGGTACCTTGGCCATTCAGTTTGCCAAGATATCTAGATATACAGTTCTCATAACCTGCTCTTCCTATAATTTTGACCTTATTTACCGAATGGGCGCAGACACAGTCTTTAACTATAAATATGTCCAGTTCACCGCTGAGATCCGCAGGTAGACCAGAAATAACCTGAAGCTTATTCTAGACTGTATTTCTCTTGAAACTAGCACCAAGTTCTGCGATAAGGCTATATTCAGTAAGAATAGGAAGTACAGTTCTCTCCTGAATATGAGGATTAAGTGTACATGCCGAAGGGATTTTGGGTACGGACGGTGCAAGCCGAGCCATCTCAATAAGGGCACTAAACTGAGGGTGCTCAACCAGTCGGAAGGGCAGTCGTAAGGCAGTAATGAATGCAGTTATCCTCTCCATCCAAGCTTGTGGAGTAAAGGTGGGTTTTTGAGAGGCCAGATGTGCCTAAGGTAACCAGAAGTTAGTAGAGATAAAATGAATCTGTAGGGATGAATATATTAATATACCCCCTTGTTGTATAAGCCTTCTGATATCTTGCGAATGAGGCGCTACCCACCGACAGCTTGCCCCTTGCAAGTGTTTGTTCATAGAGGATGTCCCACGATGGCTGTGTGCTGGATGGTTAAGGATTTGGCCACATATCTTACACATAACTTTCGGAGACCCATCTTGGATACAAGCAACCAGGTGAAAATGCTTCCAGCACTCTGCCTGGCGCTTATTCTCAAAGATATTCCTTTTCAACCGACCTCCAAACCCAGTCTTCAACCACCACCCAACGAATTCATCATTCACCATCTCTGCCCAGAGAAGATAGCTTTTCTTTTTCTCTGGGCCAACACGTTCAAGAGTATTAGGGATGGAGGGTGGTACCAGAGGCCGCATGAATTCCGTGTTAGATGTAGAAGCAGGCGTCTGCTGACTGTATGAAGCATCAGGGAAGAATGGCTGTAAACTATCGGATGGATGGAAGGAAAAGCTATCCAGAGAAGTACCCTCATGGATAGACGAGGGATAATTGTCAGAGAACTGAGAGATTTGGCTCTGTGACATGGTAAGTAATAGAGTTAGAATGACGGAGAAGGACTGAGCGAGACATACTTTAGGTTAAGGAAGCTGGAGCTGGGGAAAATAGGAAAAACTATGAGAGTTGGCTGCCAGTGTGAGTTGAATGAAGGTGTTGATACGTCTATTCTAATATAGACTGGGCTACCTACCTGAGTGTGTGGCAATTTGGTCAGTAAGGCCCCCAATAGTCAGGTTCTGTCAGGACCTGAATTAGACCCTGGGGAACCTGACCTGGACTTCAACCTGGAATCCCATCTTGACCCATATAAAAAGTTGTTTCAATCTGATTTTGCCGAAGTCCCCGACCCCAAGCGTATAATCTCGATGCCTTTAAGGGATAAACACGCAATATACAGAGTAAATGTAGAGTAAATCGACTTAAAATAGCTTTAAAATATGGATATTTTTGTATAGGCTTCCAATTAGCCAGTTTAATTCTAATGGCGACTGTTGGAATATATTCAAAATGTTGATCAGGGTAGTGGTACAGTACAGTATGAGCTCTGTCTAGAACATATATTTCGTACTTTATATACCACATCAACCATAACCTCTGCTAGAAATAAATACTAAGGGCCGAATGAGCCGAATGCCACTAAATATGATTCTATATAAGTTTGTTAGGCTAAATATTCTATATACAGACGAATTTCATATAATTTCATAAGGGATACAGTGATATCGCGATATTTATTCATATAGTGACCAGAACAGCAGTTAATTACAGTACACAACCTAGATGAATCATCATTTTATCCATCCGAATTAGGAAAAACTTGGCAAGATTATGCAAATCAGGTTCCGTTCGGTTCGAACCTGAGTTGAACCTGATAGAACCGCGACCCGATTCAGGTTCCAAGTATTACAATCTGAGAACCTCAGGTTCAGGTTCGAGGTTCCGACCTTTGGGACCTGAGTCGGACCATTTCGAGGCCTACGTACCAATGGACATACCGACATTAAGTCACCCACTGCAAACAGCTTTGTCTTACAACAGAAGATCCCTAACGCTCAATTACATCTTTATCCTGATGCTGGGCATGGGCATCTCTTCCAGGTGCCGGAGCTCTATGCACAACATCTTGAGCTGTTTTTCCAGAACTGAGGCCAACGACTTGATTATATTGAGCTGCGGATAAGGCGTGAATGGTCGTGATATTCTCTCATTAGAAAGGCCCTTGTATAAAGTGCGTTGATTGCTACAAGTCCAGCGATTTACTATCTAGATATGGATTCTAGATAGACCTGCGCATTACTAGAAGGCATTCAACATGCGCTCTATTTTTTTTTCTTTCTATGTGAATTGGGTTTGTTACCCTATAAAAAGGGGTATAAGATCGTTTTGGCAACATACGGCAAGTCTAGTGAGATAATTAGACGCTTGTTAATCCCCTGAAGCATTTGATGCAGATATTAGGTATTTTGAGTACCTTAAAATATAGGATTAAATGAAATCCATCCATTGGCATCCACCGCAGCATTTATACGTAGCTAGCTCGTTTTAGTTTTCCAGATATCTGCCTTCATAGCACTGACATCAATTTCCCGTCATGTACCATTCCCCTTCATTATCTTAATCACCCAAGTCACATTCAAGGCTGTCCCTGCACAGTTGAGTAACTACACACAACCAGCTGTCTTCAGCAGGCCTATCTTACGCTCGAGAAGTATTGATGAGGGCTTCAGTTTGACTCCTCATACGTCGCAAATATTTGCACTATTTTGTTATTGGGGGCTTGTTCTTTGACTATGAATCCGGCTTTATACTTCTGCAATCGGCTTTCTCGTGGTATATTCCCCAGCCTCTCATCTACGGTTACCCGGTCAACCATTACTTACTTAGGGTGGAAGTCCTTACTCTTCTGAGTATACAAGCGCAGCAATTTTCAAGGAGTAGAAATATTAGAAGATGACTAGAGCTTTTGTCATCTCTATCTGCTCATCTAATTTCGATAATAGCTAAAGGTCTTCCCCGAATCCTGGGAAGCATTGATATAGTCATGGGGCGTAGCCGTCTGCGTAAATGTGCGTTCACTATCCGTATTTGTACCACACCGGGAGTGGGAGGCGCTTGGCACGGATAGGCATCTTTTAGCCGACTATACGAAAGGAATGTGTTTGCAATACATGAGCCAATAAACTTTATAGCTCCTGCCATGTTATGGCTCGCAACTTGAATCAATGTGTCACTCTTCCATACGTGGGAGGGGAGTGATTCATTACAATGGACTAATCGAGTTTCAATATTGGGACAAATAACTATGCGTCTAAATAGTCTCATCGACGTTGTAAACTAGCTTCTCTCCCCTTACTTTGCCCTCCTTTAGCATATCCAAACCCTGCAACGCTCCCTTGAGCCCATCTTGACCTACACGGTGTGGGTGGGGTTTGATCTTTCCTTGCGCCAGCAACGACTCTGCTAGGGCCCAGAATTTCTCTGCGAATGCTTTGTCTCCCGCGTTGGCTGGCACGGGAGTCGCTCCAAATGTAAAAGCTTCCCCGATTGCTGTGTACGCCAGTGTTGAGCGGGCAGAAATATTGGCACGCCCGATGCCAACAGGTAGGAGGGCACTGTACTCGCCACCATCGGTAGATAAAGCGTTGTCACAGAACTGGGCACTGGTCTCGAGGGAAATACAATCCAGTGCTAGCTTCAGATTGTTGTCGGTATACTTCCGGATATCCGCAGCCGCCTGGGGCTCATTGTAGTCGAACACCGCCTCCGCACCAAGTTTGCGGAGGAGATCGAAGTGTGCAGGCGAACTTGTGGTAAGAACCTTGCATCCAGACAGCTTGGCAAACTGGATAGCTAGTGTGCCAGTGGCCGTGGAGCCCCCGTAGATGAGAATAAAAGGCGAGTTCTGGGCTGGTTCAGTAGGCAGAGCCAACTTCAGACTCTGGTACAGGGCTTGGCCGACAGTGGTGATTCCCACCCCTAATGTGGCGGCTTCCTGAAAGCTCAGGTTATCAGGTATTTTCATTTGCAGATCGCCCTTTGCCACGATATACTCGGCGAATGCGCCGTCCTCGGGCTGCACCGCATTGGCACCATGCACACAGCCACACACACGATCTCCCTTGCTGAATTTCTTGCTCACATCTTTACCAACCGCTTCCACGATGCCAGAGTAGTCACAGCCGACAAGAACACCAGGGGGCGCGAGAAACGCTATGTGTTTCCAATCAGTGGGGTTCAAGCCCACACTGACCGTTTTGACAAGGATATAGTCATCTCGCAGCTTAGGGAGGGGTCTGTCTGTGACAAGGGTCGCAACCTGGGGCGCAGTGATGGCGACTGCCTTTTGAAACGACATGCTGGTAAAAAAAAAAGACAGATTCTTGTGGTGGGGGCGTTAGAGAGAATGTAAAAGAAGAGGTAACTACAGAGTAATGTAAATGAAGGAGGATTAGAACTGAAGATTTATACGAGTTCCCCAGCCAGCCAGATAGCACCGGATCCGATCGATTACCAATAACGTTCGTCCTTGATTCGTAATCTCTGGGTCGAATGGTGAGTTAGACCTCGTTGACGAATATGCCAGAGGCGTTATAATTACGGTTCTGAGTGGTACACCGAGGCTCGATCACTAATCCAACCACAGAAATCCCGAACAGTAGTGTCAACATTGAATGATACCGCTAAGCCGCATTCGGTATCTAGAATGCAAATTTGCATTCTAGAGACGTACGAATTATAGCGCTAGTGGCCATAGAGTTCGTACTTTTGTTTCACTTCAATTGTCCCTTATCTTTGTCAGACCTACCAGACTGTTATCATATATTTAGGTCAGATAGCGAGTTAGTGAGGGAGAAGGAGAACGCTTGCTTGGTAAAAAGGGTGTATACGAATTGGGTGTCGAGTCGATAAGTGGCATTATTCCGCGGCTACGACGCGACGCTGTGCTACTGTATGTTATGAGTTCTGTGGCTAACAATGAAACACAACTTGCAAGTTCGCGCCTGGAGTGCCCTGTCAACAGTCAGCTCGTATTCAGCCCCTGCTATATATACACTGTTGAGATAGGAAGCTTTAAACCTGTAATTTAGGTGGAGTAGGTGTTTCCGGAGTGCTGTGAATCGAGGCTCGACCCAGTAAACAACTCTATTTATATATCTATAATTTATCTCTAAATGTCTTCCCAGTATATACTTTACATATACTTTAAGTAATTATAGATATAGACTCAGCAGTCTTCTTGCCGCGTGCTGGCTGCTTTCTATCACTAGCGGCTATTAAACTCTCAGCATATACTCGGTATAGAGGGAAGATAGTAGGCTTACTATTAGGGCCCTTTTTAGAAGTAGCACGCTTGCTCTTGGGGGTAGATAAGGAGATAGAGATATTAGAGAAAGATTTGCACTGTATATACTCAGTATGTTATAAAAAGTCTTGGAAAGAGGGACTTGCCTTATAACTAGAGATCTTTCTAGACTTCTAAGAAATATTAGTATATATAGAAGATATGTGAAGTAGATAGTCAGGATTATATATAGGATAATAAAACTCAGTTCTAAACTTCTGGACAAAGTTATTATTTTCCTGGCTAGTAGTTCTTAGTATATATTTTATATATACTAAAGATATATCCAACTCACGCCAGTTTCTCAAGGAAGTTGTCACGGGTAAGCCTTAGGCTTAAGGCCCTGATGGCAAGTTGCGATACTATATATACCGCGCCTGGGAAATCAACTCCGATCGGAGTTGATCATAGTGGATCTTTTTACCTAGTGGGAAGATCCTACGTATTGAATTACTAATCCCAGGAGTAATCCTTTACAATTATGATCAACTCCGATCGGGTGGCCAATAGTTAAGGATTCGGATTTGGACTGGAGCAGGTTCGAAACCGGGTAGCAGCTGACTATTTTCTGCTCACAAGGCTTGTCCTTGGGGGTCTCCGGGTATATATAGCTGTGGTACCCAAGCTGTCCGGGCTTGGGGACAAGCCCGCTGTAGACGGGGAGATAACTAAGCGCCCTGAACAACGGAAAAGTAGAACACCCGGATATGGGTACAAAATAAGCACGAGGAAGTCCGTTTCTCACCTTAAATTCATTTCTATTCCTACGCTAGTGTCAACAAACACAATGCCTAATATGACAGTCGCTGAGCCCACTGGCCTCCCAACCATTGCTGAGATCGAAGCGGCAACTGACGTTCTCAGCATGCCTGACAATTCAGCCAAAGTTGTTCGGGTGAAGGAGCATTTTGCCGTCAAATTCGGCAATGGTATTCCACTCTCGGAGGCTGAAAACATGAGATTCCTTGCGGCCAACAGTAAAGTGCCGGTGCCGAAGGTTTACACGGCTTTTGTTGATCCGGAGACCAATCGGACTTTTATCGTTATGGAGTACGTCCACGGCGACAACCTTCAGAAATTGCTGCCATCTCTTACGCCCTCCCAGAAAACCATCATCTGCAAGCTCCTTAAGGACGCAATGATTGATCTCCGAAACATTCCACCTCCGGATTATCTGGGTACCTTGAATCGCCAGCCTTATCATGATGGTGTCTTCTGGACGAAAGAACAAAACCCGTTGATCTCCGGCCCTTTTGCAAGCCAGAAGGAAATGAATCGTGGAATTCTAGAAAGGTTGCGCCAGACAGAATCGCCTCAGTACATTCGATTATTGCAAACAATGGTTGATAGCACACTGCACGGCCACCGGACTGTTTTTACCCATGGAGATCTGCAACCGAAGAACATTATGGTCCAAGAAGTTGAATCTCATGAGGGTGGAAGCCCAAAGCTCAAAATTACAATCATAGACTGCGAAATTGCCGGCTGGTACCCTGAATACTGGGATTTCTGCAATGCAACTATCTCCTGCAGATTTAAGCCTGACTGGCTTGCACTCATTCCAGACATTCTGGATGAGTATCTCGTGGAATACCTCATGATGCAAGTTGTTTATAGCACTGTATTTTACTAAAGAGGAATGAGAGACTGCAAACAAAACTAATCATTGTACTCCAACAAGCTAGCGACAAATTCCCTCTCCGTACATAAATAAAATAAATCAAATAATCAGAGGCGGAGGTGCAATTGATCACAAGAAGGAGATCCCCAATTCTGACAATTATCTGTTGGACACCTAAATGACTTGCAATCATCAGAGTTGTCTCAAAGAGAGAAATGTCCTACATGAACAGTTTGTCAAGGATAAGCAAAACATCCGGAAGACAATGTTAGAGAACTCACAATTTCATTAGGGCTTGAAAATTCCTTTCTCAAAGGTCAGCTTCTTAACGTCCTGAATCCATTCCCCACAACGATAAAGCGGCTTAGACGGATCCAAACGTTTGCCACCTAGTGTCATCTGGGCCGGTGGTGGAGGGACAGCTTTACAACACTCTGTTTCAAATCTGGCCAAATCCCCTTTGGCGATGGTTCTGATCTTTATCTTCGTACCCGGCACGAATGAGGCTGACTCTATAGGATCCCTGGAGTCTCGAGGGTCATATTTCATGCCTTGGAGGATGTTTCCAGTCACATGATAAAGGCGTCCCCTATCAGCGACTTGCAACGCATTAGGTTTGGTTTCGATATAAATTGCAACATAATTTGGCTTGCCAGCATATTCGGCTGTGTATACGTTGTAAGACATAACTGATAGATGAAAAATTGCTAGCTGCTGTATGAAAAGAGAAGAATAGCCAGGTAGCCGGTATATTGGATTCTGGTTTAATGAAATTCTGAATTACATTCCTGATGGTCCTTGTACTCTTTATGTAACTTGTTCTTTCTAACATAGAACCGCAACAGTTCGTTCCCGAAAACATTTATCTCAGCGTAGTGGTAGTCGAAGGCTTCAAAACTGGGCGTCTCGCCATGGAGTGCAGCCTAAATTAAGGGTCGCTCTGGCCAAGACTACGCCATATCCAATGGATGGAACCCTCTGATCCTTTCCACCAGGAGAGGATGTACCAAAGCGATGATGGTAAGCTGTGATTAGCTGCTAACAACAATTAGAGAAAGCGGCCAAGTAATTATGTGGGTTTCGCAGCGGTTAGTTAATGAATTATCTATTCTTGTTCATCACTGCGCAATAAAGAACGATCCATGACAGGTGCTGTTGGTGGTTGAATACGGAACTTATGCATGATTGACTGTGCACAAATGACTGGCTTTTGGCGTCCGATGGCGGAGCTATGGAACCGCTTAGAGCTCCTCAGAGAAGTAGTGAGTCCGAACTCATAGGCCGGTTGCATGCGTCTAATGATATTTTCATTTTCATTTCATGACAGCTACCCTTGGCTGGCGAGTGTTAGACAAATATATTTGATGTTTATGGAGAGTCGGCTGAGATGCCTTTTGTTCCTTTATATTCTTGCCTTTTCGTTTGCCCGTGAGCAGGGTCCAATGACTGCTAATTGGCTTGACATGTCCCATAACTGCGCTAACGACTTTGACTAGACACCGTGGCCAGCGTTCGGTGCCTAAATTACAACTACAAGAACCAAACTCGTGGGGTGGGACCCTAGGGGAAATGCAGCGCTTATTGATAATTCAGGGTAGAACTAGCGTGTGAACAGAAGGCTGTGAAAGTGTGTTCACTGCTAGTACCGACCATGTGACTACTACCAGTTTAAGGGTGGTTGGTGCTAATATTCCAAGCGTCCTTGTCTCCGCCTGAATTTATTGGCTCACGAGTGTTGTTTTCGACAAGACTCCCAAGAAGCTAGACGCGTATTCCTCCTTTAGTATGTTTCAGTCTCGCTTGTTAGCTGCGACGATTCAGGATTAAGCTTCGATTAGGTACCTAGTAGTTCACTCATTGTTAGCCTACCTCTGTTCCTGCTCTAAGGAAACTAGCTAGCTGTCGTAAGTATCTTGGCCTAGGCATATTGGCGCTGGACATGGCGGGGCGGCTAGGGTGATGATTGGATGAATTTAGAGCCCTAAGTAGCCATAGCGCTAATAATACGGATAACCAATAACGATGGCTCTTCCGTAAGCGCGCGCTACATTCTTAAGGGTCTGATATTACCCGCAGGACACAATCCAGGGCTGTAGTAGAAATGTTCCCACCAATGGGATACCTATCCGGGTGCCTTGCTTGAAGCGGCAAATCTAACCTGGTCTGGGAATTTCGTGGGGTTGTGGTTTTTAGTCTTCTATTATGTTGCAACAGCTACCACTATTATCGAAATTAAAGAACGTGAGGTCTGGGATAAACACTAACCCGGAACAGTCGGGCCCAAATGGAAATACTACTGGATTAAAATCTCCTGTTTGGCCCGGAGCTGATTGCTGTTGTCCTATGGATTATGCCGGGCGCATACACATTAGACTGGCCCTAAGGAGATGGAACCCACGTTACTATAATTGATATCGACATCAAGATGCGCGCCAGAGGCATGTATCTGGTGATTGGGGTAAATTCCCGGACGGTGCGCTTGATAAGGCATGCAGCCCCTTCTGAAATTGAACATATTTTGCGAGTCGCATCTGCAAGGCTACATAATACTGGTCGTCTACTGGAGCCACGAATATCACGGCATGATCGCCCCGCAATTGAGGTTAAGTCTTAATGCATCTAGGACTCAGCGCACGACCACCAAAAAAGTAGTTCGCGAGTCATGTTCCCGGCTACTGACCTACTCTCTAAGCCAAATGATAAGACAATTACACATATCACTAGTTCGTCCTGAGAGACACAAAAACGAATGAACGCCGATGATCTCTTGATTCAGCCGCGTGTTACTCGTTCCCTCACGTTTCTCTTTCCAGCATCGATTGCTCTGAAGCGTCATATTCGATCCCTAATATCCCCAATTTTCACTGACAGAATACCGTCGATTTCTGATTCTCTCCAGTCAAAATGCCACCTCCCAGAACGTGTCTAGAATTGATGTTCAATCACATTGTTCTGCCACCCCGACTCCCCGGCCAACAGGACAGTTCTGTGCATAATATGGATAGACACATTACGCAGCATGCCTTAAATGCAACGAAGACACTCCTGGGAGCGTCCAAAAGTGACTGCAGGGATGTCTGGGATGGGGTGAAAATGTCGCTAGAGCTTTGCCATGCAGTCCACGCGAATGGTCATATTGACCGTTTTGCTGTTATGGAGGCATTCGGTAAGATGGACAAAGACATGGGGATTATTCTTTATATAGACAAGCAGAATTCCGGACTTCATATCCGGCAAGTGAAAGGGTCAGTAGGCAGCTTGGTTGCAGATCCAATGCCTCCATTAACTGTGGGAAATTAGGGATGACGGTGTTGAACAAGTCATCATCGAAGCCTTCGAAGCCTCCCCTGCCGCGGAGAGCGTCCTCCAGTGCCAAGATGCCCTACAATGCGACTTTCCTGGGAGCGCTGTTTCGATTCAAATGGCCAGGTTCGAAGAGCAATCTTTCCAGGAACGTCTAGCAATATTCCTGGACCAGGCAAGCGAGGAACGGATTGAGCGATTCGCAGCCAAAGCCCGGAAAGCGGGAGCATCCCTGGTAGAAGCTCGCGATACTCCTAATCCCCACTTGATAACGCAGATGCTTATGACACTTCTAGAGGCACAAGGGTCTCAGATCTCCACTCCGAAAATTCGGAAAAGGCTAAGGGATGACGTTTGCTGGACGAAGGCTTATGTTCCTTGGCGCAGAAACCCGCTGTATTTGGTTATCCGGGTCTGTATACAGAGACTTCTCTATTCCCTGCATGGTCCCGAAATTGGACGCATGTATTACAAATTTTTTATTTGTGCTATTCACGCCGAATTACTTCAAGAGAGTATGGGCATACTATCCGTGGAGTCATGCCATTTGCTCGTCGCAAAACTATCCCGGCGTCTGTCCAAGCTCGAGATTGAGAGACAAAGTTCAAGAGAGGCATCATATCTAGTAGTTGAAAACTTATTTAATAGTTATGGACCTTGGTTTGAAGCCGTCATTCAAGCAGCTACGCGAATAATGGAAGATGAGTGGGTCTCCTTCAAGAACACTGTCGAGAAGAGCGTCCCGAGCCTGCCTCTCCGAGCGGATCCGCATGATCTTCGCCTGAAGCTTCCGAACAGTGCTTCTCACCTTCACCAGCTCCTTTCACGATGGAAACGTGGTTACGCAGAAGAGGCTCTACAATCTTCTAGTAAAAATCCGGATAAGGGCGTGTGTTCTCCATATAATCACTTTGCGAATCGGTACTATTCCTTGAAAAGATTGGAAACTCAGTTAAAGGATAGATTCCCGTTGTCCGCAATTGTATACCAGGATGACAAGTGCGCAGCACTTGCAAAAGCGATCGAGCATTACCTTGACGAGGTATCCAACTTGTACGATGACTGCATTGAGCGGAAAAGTGCCATGATGGTGACTCTCTTCCAGTTGTGGGTGGTCATGGATATATATGCTGTGCAGCAGTTCCCGCTCCTCAAGGAGTACCGTCCACCCTTTCCGCCAGAAGTGTTAGACATATTACAGCTTTCCAAATACGAAGATCTAGCCCGTCTTCAGGACATACAGCAATATCTGAAAAAGCGTGAAACACAGTGTCGATTCAAATCTCTCACGTTATTCTCCGATCCTGTAAGAAATTGCTTCGCAGATCGATATGTCCGTTGCTCCTCTGATGCTGACCGGCTACAACGACTCAACCGTGATATTGAAACCGCGTCCTCTGCGGCAAAATATCGGAAGAAGGTGGAACTGGATCGAATAAACGAGCAATATTCAAGTCTTTCCCAGAGGATAACATCAGCAATCTGCACTCGAAAACGAGATCCACCAGGCACAGGTTGTACTCACTGCAGACTCAAAAAGCAGCGAAAGAAGCTGCAAATAACAGCCCATGAAGACTTTCTACCTGAGGAGAGCTCAAAACATGCTGCTGTTCAACGGAGGGCGATTCTCTTTGAGCTTGCCATGCCGTCCTGTTTGGCCGCATATCGGGACACATCATGGAGGATAATAGCCAAATTTGGAAGACCAAAAGATGGAATGGAAGCAAGTCTACCCCAACCGAGGGTACTTTTATCCCGATGGGACTCTTTAAGACCATATGTCAATCATTGTGAATTACGGTTCCATTTAGCATCCACGACGAAATCGTTCCTTGTCTCCCACTATAAAGGATCAGCGCTCCCAGTGACAGATGCCCAAATACTTCTTCCCTTCGGGCTTCGGTTGTCATACTATGATACGAGAGAGGAGAGATGGGCATCGCATCTATCCTCAGGGTTCACTTTCGCACATTCATTCGGAATACACCAATCAATCCTCACCTTGCTGGGACCCGAAAACGCTTCGGAATTCGCGGCAGATGCAGATGGGCCCTCGTCGTATAAAATAATGAGCGTCCAGAATAAATCTCCAGGCAGCCTGAGTGCTCACGAATACATGGCATATCAGAACTTGCTTGCGGGGAAAGCCTCTCGCTGGCTATCAGTTCTCCGAGAGTTGGGTTCTTCAAACATCAATTTCAGCTCGGAGGCGACCATGCATCTGTTTAACTATCTTGCGATGCAAGCCGGTCCCAGCTACGAAGGAGAACGTTTGCGAAAGGTCCACGCGGTCTTTGAAGATGTCACGTTTTGTACTCGACTGGCCAATCAAATCGAAAGTTTGTTACAAGGGATCTCGGATAACTGGCGCGAATCTTTTTGCATGGAGGCTTTGATAACTTTTGCCCTTCGTCTATGTTCCCTCGGGCCGACGCAAGCAGCTACGGAAGGCAGGAGACTTTTACTGACAGCACGGCAAATCACTTTACGATGGATACATCGAATACGCGAGGACATTGGCCAGGCAGTAGATTCAGAGGCCGCAAAACAGCTTAGTAGCTATGCATTATTGGCTGGACTCTTATGCAAAAGGACATTCGAATTTGATTGTGATCACTTACGGGATGACAGTGCCTTGGAAACCTTTCTCCGCGCTTGCATGGCAATTCCAGAGAATATGACCCTTAAGCCCGAACAGCTCCCGGCTACAACTAGAGGGATGCTTATTCGTGATATTCAAATGACTGTGTCGATTCACGGGCTGCTCCAAAGCACAATCCAGCGCCATCCAGAAAGTCTGCAGCTTGCTATCAGCAGTGTGTGGCCTGACACCGCAGATCGCCCGAGGACGTATCGTCCTTGGCGGTTCATTTCGAAATCTGATATATGGATGGTCTCAACTGCTACTGCATCGGATCTTTCTAGACCACAGCTAGTCCACTATCATATATTAGAGGGGCATCTCCTTGTAGACCGCAAACCCGTCGGCAAATTACCGGCTGAGATACGAGACGCGGATAGTGTCCAAGAACTATTTGGGCCACAGCATCTGCTCGTCTTTCCCTCCGCCTTGAGAGATATGACATATGTGCTATCGACATTGAGGAGCGGACATCAGATCCATTTCGGCCTCTATGAAGGCAAGGTTGTGATTCGGGCCCGCGTCCGCGGCACCGTCCTTCAATTTGTGGAGCGAACAGTTTTTGGCACCGGCATCAGGGCTGATTTGCCGACTCCGCTCCTCGACGAATATTTCCACTGGCTAGACTTGGGCTCGGGTGAGCTGGAATTCAGAAGACGTGCCCATTTGTGGTGGTATAAACGCCCTGGAAATTGGATGCTTCACGTGGGTGTACGTCAGGCGTCCCGCCGACAAACCCTCCTGGTCGACCCCCACAGCAACGTATTCCATCGAATTGCCGGGATTTTTGAGCATTTCGAGTCTGCAGACAGGCTAGTTGTTTTCCAGCCTGCCAAAAGAAACCTTAGCGTGGAGCTGAAGCGAATGGATTTGGACTTTACCGTTAATAGGAATGGCATTTTACTCTGTAAACAGCTACGCTCGGAGATAGATCCAAGCCAGGATGCTGGAACATGGTATGGCTTGCAAAGCAAAATCGTTCTTCGCGATAATGAGAACCATCTATGTCGAAGTATTATCGTTCCAATTGGGTCTATACAGTATCGTCGCCACGATGTTCACGTCCTTGTTAGGGTAGTCAACGATGGTCGATATGGGCGATACTTGATCGATAACACACTTGGGCGGCTCGAATGTGCGCCAGAGCCGTTGCTGGTATTCACAAAATCGCAATTACATGCTTTTACGTCTTTCCCCCTGTCTGATACTCTCACAGGGCGCACCGGCACTGAGGAGGCTTTGTCGTGCTTAACATCTGCGCAAAGCCAGCCTTGGACTCTTCTAGGCCCCGCTCAGTGCACACCTCTCCAAACTATCGCGCGACTGACACCAGTGAGGAAGTACTATCCTTCACATCTGAAACGGCAGCAGAACGTCGCCTGGGACGAAAATCTCACGATGACCATCCAACACGATCAATACCGACCTGTGATTGAGAATATTCTAGCAAAAGGGGAGAGGCTCTCCAAGTTTACATCGCACAATGTTTATCAGTTGGAACTGGAACCAGGCAGTGCTGCGTGTTTAAGGGAGAGGAACTACATTCGATGCCATCGCTTTGAACGACCTGACGCCTTCCCAAGACCTACAATAGACTGTAGAGATACATTATATGACAGCCGAGATAAACTAGAACGGAACAATGCCACGAGCAATGTATTCGAAATTGTCAGTATCCTTCACAACAGTCCTTCTCAAATCTGTACCACTACAGATTTGGCCCAGCTTCTTGACGGAATCCCGTACATTACAGGGTATTTCGAGAAGTTTCAGAATTCTTCGCTGAGCGATCTCCTCGGTCTGGATATCGGCACGGAGTGGGGAAGATTGGTAAACCTGTGTCGCGACTCCAATAATCAGCATCTGGAGGCCATGTTTACATTGGGCACAATCGCATTCGCAGGAAATACGAACATGGGACTTTTGCGAAGCCTGGCTGCGATCTGTATCTTGAAGGATGCCAAGGACCTGAAACTGCCACTCCATACAGGCTATTCTGGATTTCAGTTGAATGACAAACCCACACAAGAATCTCTAGAAATGTTAATGGACCGCTATCCCGAAATATTAATTAATGGTACAAGCTTCGACGGAGCTTATAATTCTATGGCAGAATCTGAAGACCTCTGCAGAGATGAGTGCCACGCGCTCGCGGAAAAGCTTTTACAGCAGTGGCCGTGCCCACAACCTTCCAACATCAACCTAACAGCAACGCACATTGATGTAAATAAGGCCCTCGCCATGGTCCAAGTGGAGTGGCTGCGGCTCTTCAAGAATTTTGAATTCGCACAGACTCTTGTGGCGTTCCAAAACGTCCTTAACCAGTATCAGGGAAGATCTAATCCGATGACCTCGGAAATACCTTCACCACGCCTCCTGCGGTATTCCGCTCCAGTTCGAGATGTGGAGATTCCTACAATATCTGACTTGTTTTCAAAGAAAGGACCTACATCATTTCGGCTGAAACATTCTTCATGGTCTACGTTGCCAAGACAAGAGCAGTTTGCGAATTCGGCGGCTGATAGCTCTGCGCATGCATCGAATGGCACCGCACAACAAAAAACAAAAGATTCTCCAGAGATTGAAGAGCTTACAAGCATCATCACAAAACTTGCTTCTTCCAAATCTGCCGTACGAACAGCATACGCGAAGAATATGAAGGATAGTCTGGCCGCGCTTCAACATCAACCAACAGAGCACATGTTAGAAGAAATTCCCACTCCTATCAATCTTCCGGCTATTATTTTCAAAGTTCAGAACCATTTGAGAAAACAACTCGCTGAAATCCGTGCTTTCTTTGCTGACAACGATAGGCGGTATAAATGGTTGCATGCCGCTCAACTATGGCCCTGCTTAATCCCGGTAACTGTGCTTCAACAGCTAAGATCAACCAATCGCTATGGCTTTCGTTCTAAAATAAAACAAGCTCTTTTGAGCTACGGCCTCTCTATAACTCATGTGCAACAGCTTTTACGAATTCACGATGCCAGTCTGAAGAACGATGCTCAACGTTTGCAAGACGAGTATAACAACCCTGGACATGAAAACTGGCAGCCCAGCGAGTTCCCAGACTGGCTGCTGATGGAGATTGAAGCAAACATGCTTATCCGAAAAGTCCAAGTGGCTGTTGCGCGAGCAACCATACTTCCAGCGTCGAAATCCAATTCTGTGCTTCAGCTGAACATGGGGCAAGGTAAGATTCTACAGAGGGGCTGAAAATTTTATTCAAAGTCCAAATACTTACGTTACCGATAGGCAAGACTTCTGTAATTATGCCCATGGTGGCGTGTGTCCTAGCCAATGGCCGCAATCTTGCCCGCTTGATTGTACCCAAGGCTCTGTTGCTACAGACTGCACAAATCATTCAGGCACGTCTGGGAGGTCTTGTTGGCCGCGAAGTTTGTCATGTTCCTTTCTCCCGGAAAACGCCAACAGGGGTTGCATCTGTTCAAGAGTACCGAGCCCTACATATGGAATCATTGGGTAAATGTGGCATTGTTCTCACCACTCCGGAGCACCTACTTTCTTTCAAACTTTGTGGGCTTCAGTGCCTCTCGGATTCGCGCCTAGAATCGGCCAGACACATAATTTCTACAACGGACTGGCTCACGCGAGTTTGTCGGGATGTTGTGGACGAGTCAGATTTCTCTTTGGCTGTGAAGACGCAGCTAATATATCCAAGTGGATCACAGCTGCCGCTAGATGGTCACCCTTATCGATGGAAGATCGCTCATGCCTTGTTAAACCTAGCGAAGGAGCATTTAGGGGAAGCCCAAGAGGAATTCCCAGCAAGCTTTGAGCTCGTAAAGCGTGCCAATGATGGTTTTCCATTCATTCATATCCTCCGACCGGATGTGGAATCCTTCATCCATCAGAGGCTGGCTGATGACCTGTGTTCCGGCCGAACATCAATCCTTCCTACACCGGCTGTTGGCTATCAACAAGCACTTCGGAGTTTTATTTCCAATGGCGCAGTTGATCAGTCGGTGGTAACAACAGCAATGCAAGCGTTCGTTGAACCAGAGGCTATTAAAAAGATGTTTCTTCTCCGCGGGCTACTCGGCCATGGAATCCTTCTGCAGTGCCTAAAAAAAAGGTGGAACGTGCAGTATGGCTTGCATCCCAAAAGGGACCCTGTCGCGGTTCCTTTCCATGCTAAGGGAGTCCCTTCCGAACAAGCTGAATGGGGTCACCCTGATGTCGCAATAGTGCTCACCTATCTATCGTTTTATTATAGTGGTCTTACGCTCGGCCAGTTACGCCAGTCTCTGCAGGGGCTCTCCGACTCCGATGATCCATCCAGTGAATATGACCGCTTGACAAATTATGTAAAAACCTTACCGGAGTCTCTGCGGCACTGGAATCTGATTAGTACTGATGACGAAGGCCAACTTCGCGAAGCCTGGACCCATTTACGTTATTCAGTGGCTTTCATCAACTATTTTTTGGAAAATATGGTGTTTCCAATACATGCAAGGCATTTTCCACAAAGACTGCAAATGTCTGGATGGGATATCCCATTATTCACTACTGAGGGAAATTCGATGCTATGCAAGGGTTCCATACCACACGCACTAACCACAGGATTCAGTGGTACAAACGATAACCGTGGGCTTCTTCCTCTGACAATCCAGCAGAATGACTTGCCAGAGTTATTTCACACAAATGCAGAAGTTTTAACATACCTGCTGCAGCCGCGGAATCGACTATATGTGCTTGCCGCACACTCAGATGGTAAACGTTTATCTGAACTCCAGTTCATCAAGAAGCTTCACATGATGGGCATCCGTATTCTTATAGATGCTGGAGCACACATTCTGGAGCTGGACAACAAAGGTTTCGTGCGGAAATGGATGGAAATTGATTATGGTGCTCCAGCAGCGGTTTATTTTGACACAGGTAGCAAACCTTGGGTGGTGGACCGCAACAACAAGGAGGTCCCCTTATTAGCATCGTCGTTCGCGGGTAACTTAGAGGATTGCTTGGTATATTTGGATGAAGCCCATACACGCGGCACCGATTTGAAGTTTCCCCCGTTTGCGAAGGGAGCGCTGACACTGAGTCTCGGCCAAACCAAGGACCATACAGTTCAAGGTAATTATCCCTCCACTACTATCTCTGTCATTTCTTGCGAGTCTAACTCATGCCCAGCTGCAATGAGGCTCCGTCAACTGGGGAAGTCACAATCTGTGGTGTTTATTGCCTCGCCTGATGTTAATCAAAGTATCCTGGATGTTGGACGGAAAACACACAAGGATAAATTGGATTCGGCCGATGTTGTAGGTTGGCTTCTTGAGCAGAGCTGCAGCAGTAATGAGAACCTACAAAGGTTATATCTCGCCCAGGGATACGATTTTTGCCGTCGGGTTGAAGCTGCTTCAACATATAAAAACTTCCTTTCGGATCAGCACCACCAACAGGCGCTTCTAGCCGAGATAATACATCAAGAGCAACAGACACTAGAGCAATTGTATATGCCAAAAAGCGTCAATTGGGCGGTACGTGCAGATGTACACAGGCCAAAAATCATCCAAGAGTTCATCCGTGTGCTGGACCAGCAGCGTCTTGATCTTGATACTAGTAAAGTGGCTACATTTTTAGAGTTCACAGAGGTTGAGCAGGAACGTGAACTTGAGGCACAAGTTGAGGAGGTACGGGAAACCCAGTGTCCTGTCTTCTTCCAGCCGCTTGAATTTCCTGGACTCCATCCAGCGGTGCTCAACTTTGCAACCACTGGAGAACTTCAAGGTTCCAGTGGATATGAGCCAGCTTTTGCTGCACTACAACGAACAGCATTGGGAAAGAAATACGGAGTCTGTAGTGTGGGCAAGTCAAAACTATTTGTCTCCACTGAATTCACCAGAACTATTGCTGGTGTTAGGGATGGTGATTGGCTAGATGACTTCCTTGTAAGTGCTGGACTTCACATCAATACAGACATCTCATTAAATTATCCCCAGCGTCCCATCCACTGGATCCTGTGGAGTCCCATAACAAACACAGCTCTTGTTATCATACCGGAGGAAGCAGAATGCCTCGTTCAAACAATGAGAACACAGAAAAACACACCGACAACACATCTTCTTGTCTATGCTGCACCATTCACTAGGAAGATGATGTTGTTCAATCAATTGGATTTTTACGCGCTGCCACCGCTGGATGGCGACAATCGATTCCCAACAGCCTTAAAAATAGAACTAGGAATTCTATCTGGCCGCCTCTATCTCGATTTTGACGAGTACAGTGCGACAATGCGGTATCTAAAAATGGATAGTACTTGCGCTATAGAGAGATCGGGCAATTCTACTCACACCGTGCTCCCAGTGGATAAACCTGATGGATTTGCAAATGACCCCCTCAGTTTCTTGCAGGAGTGGTTAGCCGTCACTAGAAAGGGTCGGGAGTTTGGCCATACTCCTCTAGGCTACATTTGTCAAGGACGACAGCTTTCAAAGACTCATTCGATCTTCAACTGGGGCACCACGAACATGCCCATGGCTGAAGAAATGTCCAGGCTGCAGATCAATGATGATAATACAAGCATAGATGGACGAGAAGACAGTGAACTTTCTGACTAGTCTTTCATCCACAGTATCTTCGGACGGTATGATCATCTTTTCGCGAGAGCACTGTTTGCTGACCTTGGAACATCCGGTTGCGCTGCTTGCCATGTGTTTCTCGGGATGGTTCCGAGAAGAGGTAATGAATTGGGTATGAAGGTAATTAAGAACAAGATGCAGCGTGTCCTGTTGTATTCGGTGGATTCCTGCCTTGCTCTAATCTCAGGAGTAGTTCTGTATGACTTTGCTCATCAGAGAGGGCGTTTGTTCCTTGCACACTTGCACCGCATTCAGTTTAGCTGTTCGCGCTTGTCCTTTCTCTTGCTTCCTCGTGCTACGTCTTGTATCTAGAGTCGACTATACTTTGATCTTTCCTTTTGAAGACGCTGTCTACCTGTGCGTACACGAGTGATCCTCACAGGTCGCAGCGGTTCATCATGATCAGGCGCGTTTACCCGGTTGTCTGGAATGATTTTACTTTCCAAACGCCATTCTCATTCCTTCCATTGACTATTGAATAACGGAATTGGCTGGGCTTTCTACCCTGGCGCGATGGATGCTGCCGGTCGGAAAATGATCGCACTGAAGTAGAACCGGTGTTGACAATTCAGAGCAGAGACATGCCCGAGCTTTGAGCTGGGCGGATCCACTCGACATCTTCAAATCCATGATGCCCGGTTATTTTCTTTGCATCCCCATCCCCGACTCTCTAATAATTTTTATAGTCTACATAATTCATGCCGGTGTTTTCAACAACACTACCCAGTCATTGTACTTAGTTTACATAGCATGTGAGCTCTGGGCTGCTACAGTCTGTTTCTTGCATAGGTGTTCCCTCGTAGGGCGGTCTGGCTTTGGAGCAATCTTTTTAAATTGAAGTTGGTGGATTCCTGCAATTTTCTTAGCTGCGTACCGATGCTTGAGATACACCTATCCCGTGATATGTAATAAAGAATCAGTGATGACCATGTAGCTGGAGTAAATTAAATCTCGTTATCCCTGGGGCGCTGTTCGAGTGCATCCACTATGATCCCTATATTTGTCTAGATTGTGACCACAGGCATGTCTAGAACTAGAGTCTGGCTGCATTTCTCTACATGCTAGCCTACTCATCGACAATCTGTACGATGACCTTTCCAATATGCTTCTGATCCCATAAATGCTCGTAGGCCTCTCGAGCATGTTCCAGTTTAAAGATTCTCTTGTCCAAGACAGGATGGATATCATTTGCCTCGATAGCACGGTTCATTTCCTCAAACTGGCGTCTTGACCCCACTGTGACCCCGCGCACAGTGCAGAGGCCGAGGACTGTCTCAAGAAATGTCGGTGCCTGGCTCATTTCCTCCCCTGAGGCAAACGAGCCAACTGAGCCTACCATCGAAATCACACCCATGGTCTTCAAGGCAGTGAGGGCCTAACAATCAGTGGAGTGAATCAGCTTCTGCTTTCAAGCACATCATTGCACGGATTGAATAGAGGGTCTACCTGTCTGGCCGATGCTGGCCCGCCAACCTCGACTACGAGGTCGACTCCGTCTTTACCGGGCGTCAAGTCCTTCGCGAGCGCGCCCCAGTTTGGGTTCTCTCTGTAGTTCAGCACGTGGTCCGCGCCAAGCTCCTTGAGAAATTGAGCCTTCTCATCTGACGACGTCGTCGCAATGACTTTGGCCCCCGCGGCTTTGGCAAACTTGGACCACATTAGCGTCAAGACTCTTATGCTAAGATGTGATAGTCAATTACCATGATAGCAAAGGTGCTGACCCCGCCTGTACCCTCGGTAAGAACCGTGTCTCCAGGTCTTAGCGCCCGGCCTTCATCGGGGTAGAGAGCAGACCAGGCGGTCAGTGCAGCGCAGGGCAGTGACGCTGCCTCCGCCAAACTCAAATTTTTTGGGGCGCAGACAAGGCCTTGCTCCGGGAACGCGCCATACTCTCGAAGCGTACCATCGAGAGAACCGCCCAGAGAGCTATGGAGATAGCTAGAGTGAAAAGGCCCCGCGAGGTGATCCTGGTGAAACAATCCCGCCACTCGATCACCGACTTGGAAGCGGCTCACTTGAGATCCAACGGCAGCAACGACGCCGGCTCCATCGGCCACTGGTACTCTGCCATGCTTGACTGGAAAGGGGTACTGTCCCTGTGCATGTTGTTAACGGGAGGAAGCTGAAAGCCACCTAGAGGCGTGACCGGAATGCAAAGCTGAGTCACGGCCGCTGGAACTGCCATGTTGGAGCGTACCTTGGCAATTATCAGGTCACGGAAGTTGAGCGACGCAGCATGGACTAGTCGACTTTAATCAGCCATTGCAAAGATAGAAGGGCAATACTGCAGCTCATACAGCGCACCAAGACCTCTCGGTCGCCGATAGACGGAACAGGAGCGTCCGGCTGGAACTCGAGGGAGCCGAAACCGTTGCTGCCGCGAAGTACCCATTGTTTCTGTGTCTGGGGGATCATTTTGTCTTGATGGATAGAGGGTGCGGGCTTAGTGCTGGAAGATTTGTCAACTTGATGAAGATTTGGGGAAAAGCAAGATAACAGGTTCAAGGTCGAGGGCTGGTATTAAAATAAGTTGCCCATTCTAAGTCCTTGGCGCCAGGTATTGCATTGGAAGAATTCATATTAATAATACTTAATAATAGCATTCAGCCGTAAAGAGACAAATATTCCGATTATGTTATGATGTTCTGCTGGTTTGCTGAATAAACTACAAAGTCCCAGCAATTCGCCCCACAAGGAGTACACAGGTCAACCGAGCTACTCTGAAGTCTCGCGTGACCTATTTAATACTTTACATTAGTAGCCAGAAATCATTTTACCTTCACTTATTTTATCTTTACATATCAGTATTTTCTTTAAGCACTTAGGAACTGGTTTTTAAGCAGTTTAAAGATGGAACCTATTGAGCCTAGTATTTGTCTTGATGATGACCTCTTTAGATGGGAGAACACCGACCAAGAAATAGAAGTATATTTCCCCTTTCTAAGAGAAGCGGTTCTTAATCAGTTACTAACTAGTTAGGAACCAACCATACCTATCCCTCTTACTAATGCAAAGAACTCTCCCCTTACAACACTCAAACTTGAGTATATTGATGACCTTCCAGAGTATCCAACTAGTCATATCCATGGATATACATATGTTGTTGCAGCAGGGGGACGCTCACAGACTGAAATAGAGCAGATACCATATGAAGTAAGTATAGGCTAGTGCTTTATAGGTACTTACTAACTGCTTAGAGTCAATATGCTAAGAAGCAGAGCTATGGACAGAAACGTCCTATTCATTGTCCTTTCTTATCATGCCAGGTTAAAAAATGGACCTGGAAATGCTCTGGTATCTGTTACGCTTGGGTATTCGGGCAAGAGCTCTATGAGTGTTAGCTGCCTTGCAAAGCCGTGGAACAAACCTGAACGATAGAATCCACTATGATTCAGTAACAATAAGCGATGGTGTCGATGATGCGACCTAATCCAAGGTCCGAACGATGTGCCGTGAAGTGATAACCGAATAACTCAAGTCTAAAAGGCCAGGCCTACTAAGTATGTATACTCAGTAGTTAAGAAAGTGCAAACGAGTCGATTACTAACTTGATACCAAAGGTATATCCCAAGTAACAATAATAATTGATCATGAAGAACTAAACTAAGTACATGAATGAGTGTCCTTATATACCTTTGTTCCTCATGTCGCTGACATGTTCCGATCGTAGCGCCGCCATGATATAGCTTGTCGGTGACATGTTCTTGGTCACGTGATCCGTCAGTTGTGTGTACATGATAGTTGCTCACATAAAGTGGGTGTTCTTTGGTGCTTTTCCTTTCCTGGCGTTAGCGTCTAGTTCCCTGACTGTTGTGTCACTGGTTCTGCCGTCTGATCCCGCGTCCGATAAGTGCACTAGACAAGGGTCTTCCTCAGGCGTCTCTTCCCTTTCTAGGGATCTACCTGGCAATATCTCTATTAATTCAGATCTCAGATCAATTATCTCAACTGTCTTGTCTGTCTCAGTTGGCTCGGGTACCTGCGGCCTCTCTGGCAGGTCTTCTCAGTTGTCGGTCTTAAATGCCTCGGGTACTACACTTGGCTCTCGGGTGTTCTCACAGCTTAATATATATCTCCCTGTCCTAGAGTCTCGCTCGCGCGGTATCTGACCTATTCAGCTTTTAAGATATAGTAGTTTAATAGCCTGATCAGGGATAGATAGGCAGGTTATACAGGTCTAGCTATCTTTAACAAGATTAAGGATCAACACGCTGCGTACAGCTTTAACTCTGCTGGATTAGGCAAGGTAGTTGGCCTTATGCAATTTCCCGAGATGCTAGGCCTGTTGGTTAGACACGACGTAGCAGCCCGGGCTCATAACCTATGTTGTGATCTCAAGAGAAAGATGGGCAGGATGACGCTGTATCAGCTACACGTATGTAGCCTACTGAGGACCGGATGCCATTCCGATAGGTCTCAATTCTATGGACGACTATATCAACTATCTTGAGCGCTTCTTTCTCCTCTACTAACAGGTAAAGCCTTCAGGGGTTGAGAGTCGCTGATCCGGCCAAGCCGCTAAGACGATCACGTGTCTCGTATAGATTCATATCAAATTGGATGAGTGCAATGAAGACGATGGAAGTGTACTCTAGGAGTACAGTTAGGTACTTATAAGTAACGGGAAGACAACGTACGGAGTGAAGTCTCCATGCACAGATCAAGAGCCATCCGACTTTTGCTCCTCGGTGGCGTAATGGACAATAGGCGGAACAATAATCTCCGAGGCAACTCCAAGTGAGATTTCTACGCTGCCTTCTATCCGAGCTAGTCCGACGCTACGAGGATACCCTTCCCTCATGTAGGGCACCGGCGAAATACGGGATATTGGACTGGGGGTGATATTTGTCCGCGTCACTCGCCCCTGGCTCATTTGTTATGTTACTCATACGCCTGGTCTATATATTTCGTTATGGCCGGCTAGCTACCATAGCATTAATCAATAACGGAAGCAGATTGGCAATGGATAATATCTCATTGAGCTGCACTATCTAATGTCTGTGATACTGCGCCGATATAAGAAAATGCCTCACTCTGTTGGATATAGTGTCAGCATTGCCGCGCCAGGAAAGTCCGCATTAGGACAAAGTCAACAGCGAGAATAAAAATTGGTGGGACTAAAAGCATTGCCGGGACAGTAATATCAGGTCTAAAGCAATCTGAATGCTGTCGTCAACATGCAGGTGCATCTGGGTCGATTTCGATTTACTAACTCTCCCACAAAACAGTTGTTACTCTCTAGTATTATTATCCTGTGCAGACAAACATTTCTCCTATACTTGACTTTGCAGGATAGATTGTAAAGAACAGCAGTGTAGATCTATCCATAAAATCATTATATAATAATAGTTATGTAAGATTCGGTAACCCACTTCTCAGGTATTCGAGTTACTCTACGAGGAGGGTGTCAAACGTCCACAAAGAGGCTTTACAACAGGAGGGACTATTCCAGTATTATAAACTTACCGAGGAAAAGAGTAAAAGTGGCATACAGTATCACGAATTATTATAATAAGTATAGGTAGAAACCCCTCTCTACCTAGGGCTAATATCAAAATCCGACCGAATAACAACCCCGTACGGTTACAGCTATCTACTTTCCATTTCCCTAATATTCTCCTGAATTATTTCCTTGTTCTCCTCATTAGCCTTCTCGATCCGCGCTTTTTCCTCCACCGTCATCGGCGGTGGTAACAACGATGGATCTGGCTTCCACCACTGCTCCTGGGGCACTCTCGTTCCATCCGCTCCGCAAAACATGTCATCTATTTCCTGGTCAAATGTGGTCCGGTCAAGAAAAGCTCTGATCAGTCGGGGTGGAAGGCCAATGGCGCCTATCACGTCCCAGTCTTGTGTCAGAGTTCGGAGGACGCCATCGTTGCCAATGACAAAGGGAGCGTTGCCGTCAGAGCCGGAGTCTAGGTTCCTGATGAAATGTTGGATAATTCTTTTTGGTCAGGGTGGTTGTTGGGGTCGGGGCCATAGCGGCTGGTGCCGGGCGGGGCTGGGCAAGTCATTTCTTCTTTTAGTTTGGAAGATTGGGTCTTGGTATTTCAAGGATTATTGTAAGGTAATATGGAGATGGTCAGATATGATCATGAGATGGGCTAGTTTACTGTGTATATGGAAAAGCAATGACAACGCTGTCATGTGATTGTTTAAGTTCAAACCTCCCTGTCAATCATGATCTGACGCCCTCGATATAGACAGCTTTAAGAGGTAACTAGCCATCGGGGTGTCCATATAAGAAATTCTGTTGTTATTCGGCGATCAATAGAGCTCCGAAAGGAATATTGATATTCCCGAATATTCGTGAGTACTCGAATATGGAATATATGAATTTGTTGAGGCGAGTGATAGTTGATTGATTCTTATTAATTGACTAAAAGTTATCATTTAGAGGCGGGATGCTTCATGTATATATAAGTACCGGAGGTTGTAAAGAATGATCAGTGATAGGACAGTGTTCGGCTGGGTCAGGGCTTACCCAATAGAAGCGCTTTGCATTGTAAGTGGTCAACTTCCATCGACTACCACCGCATCTAATCACAATATTTTTGCCTATAATTTTACGCAGTTGAAATTAAGATATAGGTCTCCAACTGGTATAGATTAAGGGCGAATCGGCTCTGCCGGTCCATCAGCACTGTATGTCGGTGCACATGAGCGGGAGCAAAACTTAACATTTCAGCTAATTGATATCTGCCTTTAATGTACTATTAAGGCTCTAACCCAGCGGACCTTATAGAAGAGAGAGACAGAGGAACACTGACTTGCCGGTTTAACAGGGAAAGATCCTGTTGCTTTTGGCGCTGCAGTGTGACTCGGAGGTTGCCGCTCACTGCAGAACGGACGGCCAGACGGGCCAATCAGAGCCGCGGATGGCGGATGGGGCCATATCACGATACGCGACACGCATAGCGCAGGCCAGAGCGGAACCTGACAGGATGTCCAGCCTCGACTCCCTCTTGTACACCTTCTTTGTAGTGAACTGCCATCTGCTCCTCTCTACCCTGGCTCTTTATAAGTCTACTTTGTCCATTTTGTTATTATAGTATCTATCTCTTAATAATTATTACGGTCTTCCTTTCCGCCTAAAAGGTCTAAAGTCAACGCTAAACCTCTAATACTATTATTCAATTGATTAAGAAGAAATACAATGCTGTCGTTGCTAGACCTGCCAAATGAAATTCTGTATCACATTGTGGGCTATCTGACCCTAGAGTCAGATATAAATTTGTTAGCCAGGACAAACTACCACCTTCACAACATAATTAACCCATTTTTATATCGTTTTAATGCCACGCATAGACAGATGTCCGCACTCCTGTGGGCTACAAACCATGGGATAGTTAAGACCGTTCAGCATTCGCAGAATGCCAGTTTCGGAGTTTTGAATAATAAGCTTGAGATATTCTATCATGCACTGTCAATAGCAGTGCAAGGGGGACATACAAATATTGCGAAGATTCTATTGCAAGAAGGGATCGATCCCAATTTCCAATATCAGAGTAATGAGGATGGATTTTGCACAACATTCTTAGCAAGAGCAGCTCAAGCAGGACATGTGGATATGGTTGCCCTGTTACTGTCAACAAAAGACATCAATCCAAATCTAGGGGATGATATGGGGAGACCACCAATTGCTTATGCAGGATTCAACAGCCAGGATATAGTGGTCAAACAGCTGCTTGCCACTCCAGGTGTAGATCCCAATTTCAAGGATCACCATGGTCGTACACCAATTTCCTGGACGGTTAGCTACGGATCAGAAGCAGCTGTTGCTCAATTCCTATCTCGCCAGGATATTGATGTGGATGCCGCGATAGCAACTGATTACATGTTTAAGAAGGGATGGACCGCCCTAATGTTCGCGGCTAGCAGGGGATTCACAGAGAAAGTGCAGCTACTGCTTAAAGCACCGTATATCAATGTGAACCACCAATGCGCCAGTGGAAAAACAGCTTTACACTTTGCAGCCATAACTGGTTCAGAGGCTATTGTGCAGCTTTTACTTACGAAGGGGGCACACCCTGACCCCAGGGATCGGTGTGGTGCAACGCCACTGTATCTAACTGCATTTTATGGTTATCTATCTATTATAAACCTGCTCTATAAAGCAGGAGCTGATCCGGACACAGTCACTGATGATGGGGGTACTGCAATCACTTTAGCCTCAAGTAGAGGATATGCAGATATAGTTACATTTCTGTTAGAGACAGGAAAAATAAATCTAGCACACCAAGGCGAGCATGATCAGCGGAACGCTCTGTCTTGGGCTGCAGAGCGTGGATATCGAGAGATTGTGAGACTATTGATACAATATGGTCAGGATGCCAATACAAAGGATTACAAGGGACGAACACCACTGTCATATGCAGTTGACGATGGAGATATTGAGTTAGTCAAGATGCTATTCCTGAACATGTCTTCAATTGATCCTGACGAAATGGACGCTGACGGCCAAACACTCCTATCCTATGCTTCGCGGCGCAATGATCCGGAAATACTAAACATACTAGTATCAGTTAAGGCGATTATTTGATAGAAACTCAATCCATAAATAAACAGCTATAATTTTGTTTACAATATAGTTATGCTGGGAGGGAAGCCTGAAGATTTATAGTTTCCGATACAAGGGGTGTATATATGTACTAGAATATATAGAATCAGGTTACTAAAAAAAACATTATAAGAAGTATAAGGAAAACACTGATCACCCTACCGGGCTCCCTTTTGGGGCCACGCATCCTCGTCTACGAATATGGCTCGCCATTTGGGAGCACCAAGCCGTCATGGGAATCGTTTCTGATGCTTGGTTATGACCTTCTTGAGCATGTAAGGGACATGCAATCACAGTTAGACCCAGATCTGGTTAGTGGACTAGTTCGAATGCGTTATCTGCGAGTTGTCGGCGTTCCTGCTGATGTAGTGTCTCTATGCAACCAACAAGCCATTCCTGATAGTCTGCCACAGCTTAGGTGGTATTGTAGTCAAGCAGGCTTTGTGCGTTGCTAACAAACAGTTTTCTCAATATAGTTCGATTGTTAATGCAAATGCTGGCGTGATATTCTTAAGCACTCCGCATCGATATAGCGACAAAGCCACTAGCTTGCTACGGTTTCGAGACGTCTTGGAGGCAACAACCGGTAAAAGCTTGAAGATTCCAAATGCCTATATTGAGAAGGAAGGCGCAATATTACTTGACCTTGCAGATAGATTCGATGGAATTTCGCTCCGTACTCCTATACTATCTGTCTATGAGCTGAGGGAATCAAAAACCAGCTCAACTACATTGCTCCAAAAGTACCAACAAGTTAGTATCAGGCTTTTGAATGGACTATGAACGCTAACCTAGATTGTAGTTAGTCAACCGTGAAGCCTGCTCGACTCATTCCCCGATGGAAACAGTCATTGGCCTCAACCTTAATCACCATGATACATGTTTTTTCACTAAGAGCGCTGGCGGTGAAGGCTTGACAGAGCTCAACTTATTTATTTACAAGACCTTGAATAACACTAAACGTCTTGTGGCACTGCGACTGGAAGACCGTAAGCTCTCAAGTGATCAGAAAGCTATAGACAGGTACTAATGGTCTCAGAGGAATATCAATACGCGGCGATGAGCGCCTACTTATCCATGATAAGCGAATTGCCACTTAAAGGCGAGCTGAAAATCCATGTTTTGTCACAGCACAGTACTGACATCGATTAGCGGAGCAATTGGAACTTACTGAATACCCGTCAAACAAAGCAACAGAAGTGCCTTCAAATAGAGTAACAGAAGAGACATCTCTTTCAGGATTTGAGTTCGTACATCATACATCACCCAATATTGAGATTTGAAAATCTCTTTATCTACCATGCTACCTTCTCAATACGCATACAGCAAACGCGGACTTCTGCGGCCGCGAAGATACCTTGGAATGACTTGCGGCCAAGCTCTTACCTTCGAAGACTGTAGTAACGGCATAGGGTACCGGTCTACAACAATTTGCACTTTGTGGACTTGGGGGAATCGGAAAGACGGAAATCACTCGCGAGTTCTCCCGGCGCCACAAGACTTCCTTTGATGCGTTGTTCTGGGTCATTACGGATAAGATCGCGAAACTTGACCATCATTACCAGCAAACCTCAGTAGCACTGGGACTTGAGGACTCATCCGACTGCAAGAGCCAAGTTGTCAGCAGGGAAATTGTGAAGGGATGGCTCTCCAACCCGCGAAACATCTGTCAGAGTCGGATGAGCTTATTCAAGCAGACAGTCCACTTACAATCAGCTCTCTGGTCTTATCACCTGCTACTATGTCCGATGGTTGGTATCCTTCTACAATCCGTCAACGCAGTAGGGAAGAGATTTCTGACGTCCAGCCATTGACAATAGACATAATTCATGCAGAATTGATTACAGCCAGGTCACCTTCCTCATCAATAATGCCGTGCTGACACTTACTACATTCAGGAGCTGGAGATCCATGAAGAAATGATCAGGAGAGAGCTATCTGAGATACAAAGCCACCCTGAGCGCCGCAACATCATTTCTAGGCATATCCTTCGATTGAAAAGTATGATATACAAAACTGTTGATACTGAAGAACCCAAATCACTAGACATTCGTTTGGAACCAACATCAGATGGTAGAATATCATTTATAACTGCTAGGTCACATCTTACGCTAGCCAGTGTAGTGTCTACGAACGGACAAGAGCCACAGGCGGCAGCAGAAGATCGAGCACATGAGCAAGAAGAGGCAATCGAGGCGCAGGTGCCCCGTCCATGGCCATCACGGGAAGCTGATGATGATTGGAGGAAGCTTCCACGGATCATGAGGTCCAGCTATACAGGTTCTGGGATACAGAAATGTCTCAAAAAGTGTGCCTCTGTGCGTGTTAAGGATAGGTCCATGACTGCTCGTCTCTTCTTTGCCATTGCCAGTCCGTATGCCATGGTTCAGCTTCAAGAAATATTCGGTGTCATGTGCAGAAATGACAAGGTCCTCCCTTTTGTAAAGCCTCATACAATCGGCACAGTCTTAAGATTTCTTGAAGAAAGGGAGAGCTCACAATAGATGTCCCGGTTTGGAACCAGATTTTACCTTGTGGCTCTTCTTAGGCTTTGTACCAAGAGAAGGAAAGAATTACAGAATCACAATTCTCAAGTATTTACAGACAGTGAATTACTCAAAACCATTGTTGCAGAGATATATCCTGATCTGGAACGAGAAAGCCTAGCATTTCAAAAATGACATACGACCTTCAAAACAAACTGTGCTCGGCTAGGAATTGGGGTAGAATAACTAATTGATACACCCCTGATATTATTTGTTTCATTCCTTGGAGAGGCGAGTTGAAACGTATGATAAAACGTAAATTTCAAACACAAGAGAGGTTATGTTTATAGACTAGTATTAAAGACAGTGTTCGAAAACTCTCGGAAAACCATTTTGATGATTTTCTTAACTTATTAGATGAGAAGCGAGGCTATTTTCTACGCAAGTGTACTAGAATGATACGACCAAGATTTCGGATCCTCTTGAAATCACGTCTATCTACACCACTGCAATTGGAGGTAACAGATTCGGAGGATATCAAGAGAAAGAAGTTTGATTCCCAAAACTCACTTAATATCCTTAGACCCTGTGATGGCTCGGCAGAGTAGAGCCATGTGATTGTAAATTGTCGTGTTTGGTGACATATTGACTTTATTCCCTTTTGATCTGCCAGTCACCAACATGTTGTTAGATTACTTAACCACTGTACAATGTATTTATTGTGTTTTTCTAACCAAGTTACATATTCTATGTTAATCCGTGCTGTGGGTTCCTTTATTGAATGTGCTGCCTGCCTGGTTCTGGCCTAGGCTTGTTCTCTGGTGGGGGCTCCTTTTCCCCGGTCAAGCAGCTGGCAGGTTGGTTTGACCGTCAAAGATTGGCTGTAGGGGTAGAGTTAAGTACAGTACCTCGGATCTGCGGCGAATCTTTAGCTAAAACGGCCATCGGAGTTAGGTCGTGGAGATCTGTCTATCAGCCAACCCAGCAGAAAAATTGTTCCGCCCATCCCCCAAACCATCAAGCGTTTGCCACAAGCTGAGCCAGTGATAAGTGAGCCATAAACAGCCAGCTACAAGGCTGGCTTATCAAGCCGTGTTGGCATTCAGTGTCCATTCGCTGGATATCGGTTTACGCCAGACTAACCTTCAAGTGGTATTTCAAGTATAGGCATATGGTTGCTATCGTACGCAGAGTTTTATCGATCCACCTTCCAAATGCGTTGGCTGGTTGCTAACTGAGTTCACCAGGCATCTGAAACCCCTCATAGGTTCGTGTCGTCGAACTTCCCATTCCTTCCACCATACGACCTTTCGCATATCGAACAGCCACTAGTTGTTCCCTTCTGCTCTTTCTGTATTCTCTATGCTTACAACCCAGAGTCAATGAGACTTGATTGTTCCATTCCTTCATTCTCGATGCTCAGTGCTGTCTGGTCATCGATGGGCTCCATTTTTATATTGGATACCCTGATACAGTGCTTTCGCTCTCCAAATGCTCAACATTACTTCGCACGTGTAAACACCCAAGTCGAACCAGATGGAACCAAAACTGCTACATACAAGAATCTACCACACCACTCACTACTCTCCCTGAAGGGTATGAGCCTCAAGCTGATCAGATACGCCCATCAGCTGTTCTATGTCGGGCCCGTCAGCTCAACATTGGCGAGATGCGGCAAGGCTGAATGTCGTAAGGGCTGTGTAACAGCCTCGCCTGTCTATGGATGCGAGGTTCATGTTTGAGATGTAAGTTACTCTTTTCTCGCTACTGTGATAGGGCATGGACGAGCGTTTTCTAATATTAATACATTGGAAATAATATCATTTATATATAATGTGGCGATCTAACGAAACATCAAACATAGAGAAGGAAGAGAGAAAGAAAGAATTCTATCCTACAAGAACTGTGGGATTTTGTATTGTAGGATCAGATCAACAGTGAATAGAGCGGACTTGGTGCCTCAGGCAGGGTCCGGCCTAGGTCCTGACAGTATGTACTAGGTATGACTATAAAAGTATTTATATAGGGGGTGTGATGACCTGTACGTCACGTGGTTAGGCAGGCCTACTTCCCACAACACAAATCCTTGTATGATAGTGTTTCTCCCCCCATAGTTGAATTCAGTTGGAAACGCTACCATATCTAGCTTTCTACTGTGGAATAGCTATCTATGAATGAGCAGTCATCACAGGGGGGTTAATTAACAAAAGTAAGGTTCTACGGTTATACCCCAGTTATTCGTTGTTGTAAAGGATCGTGAATCACCTTAACTTGAAGCAGTGCTATTGAGACCTTACTGTACTAGGATTCTGTACTAAAATTTCGGCTCAATTAGCAGAGGTACAGTGTCCTCTTGACTAAGATTGAAGAAGGCTGTCGAGGGGTAGAAATGGGTGTACATATTTGATGTCAAAGTAATCATGTGTACATTAATCTAATAGAACACAAGTCATTCTAAAGAAAGAGAGAGGATGGAATATGCTGGCGATGTTGCTGCCATTGGAGATTCGACCATTCTTTCTAGAACGAGGGTTGCCCACATCCATTGGCTTTCCCTGGCATACTGATCCCTTCCTATAAGAGTCTCCACCCTCTTTGCGAGTCTCAACAAATACTGACCAGTCTGATTGAGCGAGCTTCTCACTAAGCTTCTCCCTAAACTAGTAAGAAATACGGATGCCATATCTACTAGTGCTTGAGTCCGTGTTTCACTCGGTGGATCTTCGGCAATTCGTAAAATTAAGGGGCCTGCCATCTAGTCTGCCGTTTCACCCATTCAACGCCAAGACAATGGGTCTCAGACTCTCTAGTCCTGGTAAAGGGGATCCTTACTGAAATCGTTAAATAAAAAAGGCAGCCCAGTTAAGGATCCAGGATGCCTAAGGCGGTCCGACAAATATATGGAGTCTTGCGGGCAATGGCACGAGGAACCGTAGTTTATCTCTTCTCTACTCCAAACAGTGGATATTTTGGCAGCGTCTCAGGGAGCGTTCCGTTTACACTTATAACCATTCTCGTGGACTAGACTAGTTTATTTGATACAGTCTGACAGCTCGAAGATATGCTTGACTCGGTTGATGCTCTGCTCGGCAGTGGTAGTAGACTAGGGCTGTACGGTGATGAGAGTGAAACATCGTACCCACTCTGAAGGGGCTTTCTGTGCACGGTAGCTAGATTTCGGGATATCGCTCTCAGAAGGTCTCAATGGTGATACTGTCATTGGTGGAAGGCTACACGTGTTTCAGAATCCGGGAATCTTCCTGAGTGACGTCAAAAGGGGGAACAGTCAAGGAGGATATATCGTGGGTCGGTATATAATATCGGGCTTCCCTCAAAGATATGCATCGATTAGGTCAAAGTATCATCATCCACTCATTCATTATGCGAGGGGTTGTCGTTCTTTCTTTGCTTTCCCTGGCGCTGGCGGACTTGACCGAATCCAACCTGAACAAATACACTGACGTGCTGGCACTTAGTCACTCCTTCAACCCTATTAAGGAGGCCTACTGGACTGGGTACCCCCATCATCGACGAACTCCATTCGCTGTCTCTCCCGATGGAAAGTCGGCCTACGTTGCTTATCTGGATGCGAGCGAAACAGATGTCCATGTACAGCAAGTGGATGTGAGTACCTTTGAAGCGACGGGAACATCGGTTACGGTTTCCGGTGCCAAGGAAGGTATGTGATACTTCTATAAAGGGATTACATGTGGGTGCTAACCATGCTGCCCAGCCGGTGGGCTTGTTGCCCATAATGATGGTTTCGTTCTTTTGACGAATGAGGCCATGCCCTCTGGAACGATAAATGCACCCCCCAGCGATACTCCAGTCCCCGTCTTGTATCGATACACAGATGGGAAAGAGGCATGGAAAACGTGGTTGGGCGGACCGGGTGTCCACGAGACGGACGGCCTTTCCGCATCGCCCGATCTCAACGGCGACCTGGCCTATTCCAAGGAAGCGGGTCTTTATGGCGCATACTTTGTCGTTACCGATTACTCTGGTGATGCAGCAGGACATTTCGGCGATAGCATCCAATACGTCGCAGAGAATGGCACTCTTGTCACAATCGCGGGTGCCAGCAGTTCCTGGGGCTGTAGCCACAACACAGGCATTGCCTTCGAATCAGCCGATGAGCCTCCCTTCGCAAGCATCTGCGCTGAAGATCAGGGAGCCATCTGGCTGAATACCAAAACACTGGGCATGTCGAACGATGGGGTGAAAATCTCCAACGAGAATACTACAAACGGGGCGTCGGGGGAACCCATGGGAGGCATGTCAGGAAGCTACAGTGCTCTGGCCCGGTTTGCAAAGAGCGGTAGGTATATCTTCGCCTGGGTCTCTCGGGGAGCAATGGATATCTCGGAAAATACGTGGATGGGAAGTGGCTATACCCATTCCCAGAATCGCACCAACAACCGAAATGTCGCCATCTCGTTGTTTTCCGATAAGTACACTAAGGTCGGAGCGCAGGCGACTTCTAAAATTGGGGCGGAAGATGGCGATAGTCAGATAACCTGGCTGACGGAGGGCGAAAACGATTGTTCGAATGCGCACGCCGCGACATTTGGAGACACCACCGCACTCGTGACTTGGGAGGAGATCTCGGATCCAACCTGCGACTTTGTGGCCATGGGGTGCCGCGGACAGTTTGCTGGCACATTCTTCCAGCAGGTTGATTCTGACGGAAAGAAGGTTGGCAGCCCACTGAAAAGCACGAATACCTATGTTGCCGGCGACATGGTGACGATGGCGGATGGCCGGATCTGCTGGCCATACGTGAACATGAACTGGGACCTGTCGCAGGCTGTGTATGCGCTGTCTTCTCCTGCCACCACCAAGATGAGCTTTGCCTGTATCAATCTGACTGGGGCCTCTTCGAACAACATAACACCTTCAAGTAGTGCCGCCTCATCCACGAGTGTTGTATCGAAGAGTGCAACTCTGACAAACAGCAGTGTCGCATCGATCGGTGCAGCACAATCGCATTCCGAAGTGGTCGCAGACAATTGCGCGGCGACTATGTAAGTCTGTTACATTATGGCAATCTCGCATTGCTGGGAAGAAGCGTTGGTCGTTGAAAATTGTACAACTTGGGAGGGGTAACTAATAGTTCCTCCTTGGAAATATCATCGTGATCAATTGTACCACTCTGCTATTTCTTCCTTTCTCCTACCGAGCTTGAACCGTAAGCCTAGAGGTGCTTCGGTCCAGTATTCAGACCGTTTAAACGGGGCCTGGAAAACCGTTCTGGTTGTAAATCTGCGACCGTCTTGGGAAGAGAGTCAGGACTTCAGGACACATTAGCATTCGTACCTATATAGGCCACCCTATGAAGGATAAAAGGATTGCTATAGAGATTGTAGATGCGATGGCATTTGTAGGAAGACATATACGCCTAGGTAAAGGGTTAGCGAGCCTGTGGTAGGTGGAAAAATGTCTACCTTCTTTTATAGTCGCCCGGCTCAAAATTTATGTAGCCGAGGCGTGGCTAAACAGATAGATAACCTGAGCGTAGACCTCCAATACTATCCTAGACTGTGATTTAACTCGTAAAAGGCAGCGTGATGGCTCGGGGGCAAGGAAGGGAAGATATTTAGGAATAAGTTTAACGGTTCTAGTAACAGATTTTGTGTGGGACAATCCTCCATGTTTTATTAAATACTCAAGACTCTAGAGCATGAGAGTCTACTGACCCAACGAAAATCCAAACTGGAGAAGAAGATATCTTATAAAATTTACATTCGGCTACTGATTCCACATATATTCCCTCGGTCCTGCCTCCACTACTGGTATAGTCCCCGATCCACGGTCCTCCGAATCATCTTGACAGCCCCTGCCAAACCATCCTTCGAATTATAGTTGGGCACCTCGTGGATCCCGTCATGGATGAAGACAGCCCTTGTCTTGGAATTGCACAGTTTGCTGACACTCTCACACACATCGTAAACCGGATCATTGATGCCCCAGATATGCGCTGTTGGCAGACGAATGATCTCACCGTCAGTCTCTACCTTTAGCTGACGAATCTTGCCTTGTTTTAGCTCCGCTGGATTGCTGGGAATACCCGCACCGATAAGTATGGCGCACTTGAAAGGTTGTTCGCCTTCAGGATCCTGCTGGAATTTGTGGATAATGTACTCAGCCGCTACACCCGCACCATGGCAAAATCCAACCACCCCGTCAAATGGACCTTCTTCTTCAATGTACTCGTCGAGCTGTTCGAGGGCCGTCAGCATGCTCTCTGGGTTCTCCTCATAGAAGGCAAAGCCTGTCTCCTGTGGGGTTGCCATAATGGATTTCACATTGGTGTATTCATTGGCAAAGAGCTGTCGGATCTCTAGACGTCTTCAGCACAAGCCTGATTTCAAAAATCGACATGAAGAGGCATACCGGGCGCTACTGGGCAAGGAATTGAGGCCTCAAGGAAGTCATAGGTATGGTGATCGCCGAGCTCAGCACGAAGGGCAGCTATGGTGTATCAGTACTGAAGAAAGGCCGTGGCTGTTGCAACAAAGTGATACATACAAGTTTGGGATTCGAAGATCTATCTCTTGCCTATTAGCATGGTTGCCTCTCTATAAGGGAGGGAATGGAACCTGCCTTTGCATTCGTTCCCAAACCGTGGAGGCAAAGAAAATGCATGTTGAATAGGACCCGGTAGTAGAATAGCTGCAGAAGGAGATTATTCGCAGTGTACTTCGCAAATGTTTGCACCGAAGCTCTGTTTGCCAGGTTTTATTATATCGCCACCTAGTATCTCTCTATATCTCCTATCGGCTTCTACCAGGTGGCTTATAACGGGCTCCTCCTGCGACCTGTGGTTGAAAATGCGTGATGGTGCTTCGGTGTACATACATTTTGGTGCTGATTTCGGAACTAAATGGATCCGTATGCGGTCAGCAGTTGTAAAGGGTAATTCATATACCGATCTGGTATTTCCTTTTCGTGAATTAAATTAAACGTACGTTGTTATTATTGATTTGGCGGTGGTCTGAGCCTCAGCTAGCCATGCTGACACGAGGCTCCGGACCCGCGTAGAAATTCGATATGTGGACCCAACAACCCGGTAATCTATAGATTACCGACAGCGAGGACCGGGGTTGCAATCCATCTTCTGCAGGTATCGGGACATATTCGCGTTCTGCTCCCCTAAACACGGAGTATGAGATCGTTGTAGTGAGCATGAACGTAAAGGTTCGACGTGATGGATACCTATCATTTCGAGGGCTTGGACAGACGCGGCCTCCATTGAGATCTTTGAAAATGATGTGTAAGATAGGGCAGGGAGATCTATTGCATTTCTTTCCGTTCAGACTCCGTTTGTTGTGAATTATATATAATCTGGCACCTGTACATCTCTTCATCAGGTACACCCATAGATCAACTCAAAGGCCGCTCCTCTCTATTTCAACACTGAACTCTAGAACCTCTCATTCCTCTAACCTCACTATCAAGATGGCACCTGGCATCCTTACTAATGACCTCAATGAGGAACTTCACTACAGCGACTCTTCGCTCGAGGGATATGTCCACACACAATCCCACGCTGCAAGGACGGGTGACACGGATAAACTTAAGCCCCTCGCAATTGTCGGGCTAGACTTCAGATTCCCTGAAGATGCTACCTCCACAGAGGGACTGTGGGAAATGCTGTTGGAGAAGAGATGTGCGATGACAGAGTATCCTAAGGATCGCTTGGAGATAGACTCTCTCTATCACCCGGATACTCAACGACGGGATACCGTACTGCATTCTCTCATCTTTTCAGGATAGAAGACTAACGGACACATAGATCGCAAATCGTGGAGGCCACTTTTTGAAGGGGGACCTTGGCGAATTCGATGCATCCTTCTTCTCCATCTCGCCAGCTGAAGCATCGGGAATGGATCCCCTTCATCGCATCTTGCTTGAGACAACATACCGAGCCCTGGAAAATGCCGGGATACCGATGGAGTCTATCAAAGGGACCAAAACCTCCGTACACACGGGATGCTTTACACATGACTACGAGACGATGATGAACTCGGATCCTTTGTTTATGTCCAAGTACGCCGCGACTGGCACAGCACCGTCCATGATTGCGAACCGACTGAGCTGGTTTTTTGATCTTGCGGGGCCTAGCATCAGTGTGGATACTGCTTGCTCCAGCAGTATGGTTGCTTTTGATCTTGCCTGTCAGGGTATCTGGAATGAGAACGCTACCATGGTGGGTTGAGCCGCTGCTGTTCCCCCTTTGATGGATATGATATACTGACAGTCTAATCTAGGGCATAGTTGGTGGTTGCAATCTAGTATACACTCCTGAAATGAACCTTGCACTCTCCAACATGGGCTTTCTTTCTCCGGACAGTCTGTGCGTGAGCTTCGATGCTTCCGGTAACGGGTACACGAGAGGAGAAGGCTTCGGAGTTCTGATAGTTAAGCCCCTGGAAGATGCCATTCGCGATGGTAACACTATTCGTGCCATTGTACGCTCGACAGGCTCTAACCAGGATGGCCGGACACCCGGAATTACCCAGCCCAGTCGAGATGCACAGGAACGGTTGATTAGAGATACATACGAAAAGGCAGGGTTAGATATGCAGGACACAAGATATGTGGAGGCTCATGGCACAGGTATGACCTAGCAATATAAATTAAATAACTCCTAGGACATATTGATGAAGCTTGACGAGGCTAACTGGCATTATAGGTACTGCCGTAGGCGATCCTATTGAGTCGGCAGCTATCGGAGCTGCCTTTCGACGATACCGTTCGGCCGACGACCCTTTATATATGTAAGTTGGCCATAAAGTTGTTTCGTCGCCATTTCATTCCGACGTACCAATCCTAATGACCATTGTTTTAGCGGTGCGGTGAAGAGTAACATCGGTCACCTTGAAGGTGCCAGCGGGATCGCTGGCCTGATCAAGACAATTTTAGTCTTAGAGAATGGTACAATTCCACCAATCGCGAATTTCAAGACTTTGAACCCGAAGATTGATGCCGAATACTTGAACCTTGAGTTTCCTAAAGAAGTCGTACCGTGGCCAACGACTGGCTTACGCCGTGCAAGTGAGTAACCCCTTCCCAGGCGAGAGGAATCATATCAAAAGACCAGTGACGGGCTAACAGATCCTTGAGGCATTAATTCATTTGGTTTTGGTGGTGCCAATTCTCACGCAGTCCTCGATGACGCTTATAACTACCTTCGAATCCACAGCTTGAAGGGCAATCATCGGACAGTGGCACAGCCTCCCACCATTGAAGCGTTAAGGCATCCCTCGAAATTAGCTTTACATCCTCTCAGTGACTCTACCTACCATACAGTCCTTGGGAGTCAGTCAAAGACCGCACTGACCACCCCAAAGCTTCTTGTATGGTCAGCAGCAGATGAGGATGGGCTGAAGCGTCTAGCGACAAGCTATCGAGAACATTTCTCTAACATCCAGCTAACTGACGATCAGTTGGAGGGATATATGAGGAACTTAGCTTATACACTGACTGCTAAGAGGAGTTCCTTGTCCTGGAAGGCTTTTGGGATTGTCGATTCCATTGAGAGCCTGAAAAAAGCATCGCTTTCTAAGGCGATCCGCTACAGTACAAAGCCGGATCTGGGTTTCATCTTTACAGGTCAAGGAGCACAATGGTATGGCATGGGCCGAGAGCTGGTTGCGTTTCCCGCCTTCGAGGACAGTCTTCTGGACGCAGAAAGCTTTTTCCGTCAGTTGGGATGCTCATGGTCTCTGACAGGTGAGAGTTACCTCTAGTTGCTGACCTGTTTACGGCGTATATTCTAACCACTATTCCAATGATTAGAAGAGCTTTTCGCGGACAAAGGGTCTTCCAGAGTCAATGACCCCGAGTTCAGCCAGCCGTTGTGCACTGCTATTCAAGTGGCTGCCGTCGATCTTCTCCATAGTTTCGGAATCTCTCCTGCCGCCGTGGTGGGCCACAGCTCGGGAGAAATCGCTGCTGCGTAAGTACTATAAATCTGTTACTCGCCCTAGATTTGCATGGCAACTGACTATCCTTTCCTTTCGCCAAAGGTATTCTATTGGGGCTATTTCGTCTAAGTCAGCATGGAAACTGGCATACTATCGAGGCAAACTTGCAGCCAAGTTAGCGAAGACTAGGCAAGTCGCCGGAGGTATGATATCCGTGGGCCTCTCCGTGAGCCAGATCGAGCCATACTTTGATGTCCTAGCTTCTCAATTCACTAAACCACAAGTTGTGATTGCTTGCATCAACAGCCCTATTAACGTCACTGTTAGTGGAGATGCAGAGCAGATCGATGCACTCGAACTGCTTCTCCAAAAAGATCAGGTCTTTGCACGGAAGCTCAAAGTCAACGTGGCATACCATTCCCCACATATGAATGATATCGCCTCAGAATATCTACAGGCTGTCAGAGAGCTTCAGAAAGGTCAGGGACCGCTTGGGGCTCCTGCCAGAGTCATGGTGTCCTCTGTCACTGGCCAACGGATCACGCCGGAGGAGCTATGCAAGGCTGAATACTGGGTCAGGAATATGGTTTCCCCGGTGCAGTTCACAGAGGCATTGAGCTTCCTCTGTTCACAATCGGGAAAGACTAAGACGAAGAAGATTGGGGGTGGACATCGGAACGCGGTCAATGTGACACGCCTGATGGAAGTGGGACCGCATTCCGCGCTGCAAGGACCAACGAGAGATATTTTGAAGTCTATCGGGAAGACCGGAGATATTGCCTATAACTCTTTACTGGTGCGGAACGTTCCAGCCACAAGCACCGTCCTGGAGGCCGTGGGGCATCTGTATTGCGCCGGCTACCCTGTCAGCTTGAACGAGGTGAACCAGCTCGGGAAAAACACCTCGAACTTGGTCACTCTGTCAGATTTGCCACCATACCCGTTTAACCATTCTCAAGCATACTGGCACGAGAGTCGCTTCAGTAAAGCTCACAGGCTTAGGAAGCATCCTCGACTGGACTTACTGGGTGCCCCTGTGCAAGACTGGAACCCGCGCGAGGCGAGATGGCGGAACGTGATACGGGCTAGCGAAATTCCATGGGTTGAGGATCACAAGGTTACAACTGCTCACAACCTACCATTGAGTATAGGAAGACTAATTGGGACTTAGATTAACGGAACCACGCTTTATCCCGCAGCTGGGATGTTGGCAATGGCCATCGAGGGTGCCAACCAGATTGCAGACAAGCCAGAGAATATTGCCGCATTCAAACTCCGGGACGTTTCGTTTCAGAGGGCCTTGGCTATACCTGCCGGTCCAGAGGGCATCGAGACAATGTTCTACCTCCGGTCTGTTCAAGAGAGTTCTGACAAGGATCCATCGTGGTCAGAGTTCCGCCTATTTACGGTTAAGGACGATGATTGGGTTGAACATTGCCGTGGCGCTATCCAGATCGAGTATCAAAGCGAGGCCCAGAATGCCGTGGACAATGGAAAGGAAGCAAGGAGCATCGACTTCGCACTGAGGAAAACGTATATGGACAGCGTCGCTACTTCAATGCACGCTGACTCGGATTACATGTACAGTTCCTTGGATCGCCATGGTCTGAGTTACGGCCCATCATTCCGGTCATTGAACCAGATCACCTACGATGGTAAAGGAGGCGCTACCTCCAATGTTGCTCTTTTCCGGGGCTCTCAGGATACTAAACATCCAACCCAGCCCCATGTAATCCATCCCACAACCTTGGATGGCGTTCTGCAACTGGGAATTGTGGCCATGATGAACGGTGGAAAAACACCAATCCCGAGCATGGTTCCGACGCGTATCAACAAACTCTGGCTGTCAAAGGATGGCTTGAGCTATCTCGAGTCAGATTCCGTTGTTAAAGCTCATGCAAAGTCACAGTGGGAAGGCCGCCGAGGGCTGACGTCTTCCCTCTTTGTGCTTGGAGCGAACAACTGCCGTCGTATGTTTATCGATGGGTTCGAAGCAACGGCTATTGCCAACCAGGGCGAGGAAAGCTCACCAAGTCAAAGGCAGCGGCAAAGTTACTACTATATTGGTTTTGAACCTGACATGGAGGTAAATACTCCACTAGAGATCCAGGGCTATCTGGAGAAAAGGGGTAAAAGTTCTCCTGAAAAACTCAAGGGCTATTTTGATCTACTTGGTCACAAGAACCCTAGTTTAAAAGTGCTCGAGATAGGCGGAGAAACATGTGATATGACAGAGCTTGCCCTTAGTTCCTTTGCACCTCGTGACGAGGTTGAGCCGTGCATCCCTAGATATGCACAATATGACTTCATCAGCAGCACTGAATCACTTCTAGAAGCAGTGCGAGACAGGCTCAAGGACCAGAAGGGGCACATAGGGTTGAAGGCCCTAGATATCCAGAAAAATGTGCGGGACCAGGGATTGGAATTAGGAGTATACGACCTGATTATCGCATCAGAGGTAACTTGACAAAGCACTCTCGCCCCATAATCTACGGCTAAATAAAGTAACAGCAGGGCATTACTCCTCTTCCTGATTCCAATCCAGCGATACAAAACATGCGAAGTCTTCTTAAACCGTAAGTGTTGAGCTAACTAAGATAGTGATACCTTGCGACTAACACATGCTAGGGAGGGCAAACTGGTACTCTATCGAGGATCCCCACAGGAGGCAAAACCTTTGCCTGCCGGCGATTGGCACAATATTCTTTTGGAAAATGGATTTAGTGGGGTTGACATCGATCTACAGGATAATATTATTTCTACTGCCTTGACAGCTGAGCCATCAGATAAGCGCCCTATCCGCAACGTTGTAGTTGTTGCTGAGGACAACTCGGCGGTTCAACAGGATATTGCCAATCGCCTGAATGATATACTGCAGAAGTCAAGTCTGGTACGGTACGAACAATATGAGGTTGTTTCCCTCTCAAAGGCCGCCTCCATGGAACGTTCCGATGAGAACGTCTACATCGTCCTCCTCGAATTGGAATATCCAGTCCTAAACGCCATGAGGGAAGGAATTTATACAACCATACAGAAGCTTACCGGTTCTGCAAAGCATATCGTCTGGGCCACTCGCACAGTAGAGCAGTCACCAGACTTTGGAGTAGTGCAAGGTCTTTCTCGTGTCCTTCGCACCGAGCACTATCCGCTCAAATTCGTTACACTAGCTCTTGAAGGCCACAATCCCGCATCGCAGGCGGAGAATATTGCTCGTGTGCTTACCTCGACCACTTGCAACACGGCCGACACATACGAACCGGAATATGTCGAGCGGGACGGAATGCTCCACGTGAATCGATTGGTAGAAGCCAACAAGCTGGGACGAAAGATTACTGCCAAGGAGACATCTCATCATGTTAAAGTTCAAACCATTAGCCAAGCACCACCCTTGAAGCTTCATGTTGCCTCTCCAGGACTACTTGATAGCCTTCACTTCCTCGAAGACGACAGTCATGAGCTGCCACTCGCTCCGGATGAAGTGGAAGTTGAGGTGAAAGCAGTTGGCATCAACTTTAAGGACTGTTTAGTTGCCCTAGGACGTGTTGACCAAGCTACCATCGGGCTGGAGTGCGCTGGTATTGTGCGCCGCGCCCCGAGAGACTCCCATTTAAAGATAGGAGACCGCGTCGCCGCCTGTAAAACCGGAAGTTTCCAGACCTACGTGCGCTCTCAGCAGGAAGGAGTTGTGAAGATACCGGATACTCTGTCATTTGCTGAAGCAGCGGCGATCCCGACAAACTTTGCGACTGCATATCACGCATTGCACGAAGTCGCACGACTGCAGCATGGAGAATCCGTGCTTATTCACTCGGGAGCTGGAGGAACTGGTCAAGCTGCTATTCAGATCGCCCAATATCTGGGTGCTGAAGTCTTCACCACTGTTAGTTCCGAAGAGAAGAAGCAGTTACTCAGTGAACTCTACGGCATAGACGACGATCACATTTTCTACAGTCGCGATATCTCCTTTGCCGATGGAGTCAAACGAATGACCAACGACCGTGGCGTTGATGTCGTACTGAACTCATTATCTGGCGAGGCACTGGTGGCTTCATGGGAAAGCGTTGCACCTTATGGAAGATTTATTGAAATTGGAATTAAGGACATTCTCGCGCACAATACACTCCCAATGTACCATTTTGCTCGGAACGTGAGTTTCAGTGCTGTCGACTTGGCCGCCATCATGGTGGAACGCCCGTATCTCTTACAGCAGGCCTTAAAGGCTGTGATGGATCTAATTGCCGAAGGCACCATGCATGCTTCTAAACCATTGCACATTTACCCTGCTTCTGAAGTGGAGCAAGCGTTCCGCTATGTGCAAAGTGGAAAGAATACTGGCAAAACTGTAGTGGAGTTGAACGGAGAAGATCAGATATCGGTTAGTCCCATTTACCCATTCCTAATCGCAGGGTTGTCATTGACTGAAAGAAAACCACTAGACCGTTCTGCAGACTCGACCAACATGCCAGTTTGGCCCCAATGAAACATACGTGATAGCAGGTGGTCTTGGTGGCCTTGGTCAAAACGTTACTCGGTGGATGGCGAGCCGTGGAGCTAAAAATCTCATTTTGCTCTCCCGACGCGGCGCTCAGAGTGAAGATGCTAAGGATCTAGTTCGACAGCTCAAAGAGCTCAAGATCCAAGTGGCCACTCCGGCATGTGATATTACCGACATTGATGTGTTGAGTGAAGTCATCGCCCGCTGCCGTCGAACGATGCCCCCGATTAAGGGCTGTGTTCAGGGAACAATGGTTATCCACGACAGTATGTTTGCGGAAATGTCTCACTTCGAGTGGAGAGATGGCTTGGACTCCAAAGTGATCGGCACGTGGAACCTGCACGCCGTCCTCCCTAATGATCTGGACTTCTTCATCATGATGTCCTCTATTTCCGGCATCGGTGGATTCGGTACCTTGGCAAATTACGCCGCTGGTAACACATACCTGGATTCCATCGCGCAGTACCGTGTTGCACGAGGTCAAAGGGCGACGTCTATCGATCTGGGTTTATTTGAGGATGCAGGGTACATAGCCAATGACGAGGCACTTGTCGAAAGGTGGAAAGGGGTTGGATACTACATTAAGATGAAGCCAGAAGACCTTTTCCCTCTCCTGGATTACTTTTGTTCTTCATCTTTGCTGACGCCATTGGAGTGTCAGCCACTTGTTGGCCTCAATAATCCAGCTACCATACGTGCGGCGGATAGGGAGGAACCCAATTGGATGCGCCAGCCGCTATTCCGGCTCTTGTATCAGCTTCCAAGTGCGAGCACCGATACAGGTGCCACAGCTGGCTCCAAGGGCGAGGCCTCATATACCGGCCAATTTATCGCAGCAGCCTCGAAAGCGGAAGCCGGTGATATTGTTGCGGAGGCCCTCATTAAGAAAGTCGCGAAGACGCTCGGTATCCCAGAGGGAGATATGGAAGCAGATCGGGGCATGCATCATTATGGCATGGACTCACTGGTGGCTGTTGAGATCCGAAGCTGGATCTCCAGAGATTTCGGCGCTGATATCGCGATCTTCGATATCCTGGGGGGGGCGACATTCTCTTCCACTGGTATCTTGGTATCTGAGAAGAGTACGCTGCGTCAGTCGAAATAGATTTGTATGTACTTGTCGTTTACAAATGCATTTTAGTTAATGGGAAATTTTAATCGTTGGGAACTTTCTTCATACGTATTTTCGAAGCCATCAAATTACTTTATCGGGCTTCCAGATAACTCAGTACGTAAATCAAGACTCTCTTAATCAGGGCAATGTCATGCTTTCCCTTGAAGCTGGAAAGCTATGTGGGAACCGTGGGGTATACATCCTGTACATTATCAGGAAACGACGATGGGCTTTTCCCAAAAGCGAAGCAATACGCCAATCGGACCCAGACAATGATAATTACTTGGATAGCTGATTGGACCTACGTCCACCAGCAACCGACCATATATAGCGGGTAGGGGGTTCGCTACAGAAATACCTGCTTATCTAACGGCAGAGGAAGCACGCCTATGATACAACCCTAGTCCTAAGCTTATGGAGTCTGCAGATAGCGTATCTAAGTCCTAGAGTATGCTAGTTATAGCCTCTAAGGTTTGGCAACTAGGCCAGATTAAGAGTTGAAGAAAGGGAAAATAGAAAAAGGACGGTAATTGTTTTCGAAATACGAAAATAGACGTCGGGATCTTATCCTCATGCGAGTCTGAGTTTACGATATCGTTATCTCAGTACATTCATAGTCAGCAAAGAGTGAACTCCATGAGGATGCGCTGTTACTGTCATCAAGTCGCGGGCCCGCGTAGGGCTAAGCCATGGACTTTCATGCGAGAAGAAGAAATCCATGTTACGGACCTCTGCTCAGATCCATAGGATCACCAAGTAAATCTCGGCACTTATGACAGGGAGATCCGTGCCTAGATTCTATAATTAATAAATTGGTCGTTGGTATCGGCATCAGCGGGCCGGAGTAGACCCGGAGTTAGGAAACCTCGCCCAGTCAAAGCATGTGTACATATATATTAACATACTCTCGAAGGAAAGGTATATATCCAAGATTGCATTTGTGTTTTCTTTTGCGGTTGAACCATATACAGAGAATCTCTAACTTCAAGTTGAATCCAAACACGAAACTTCAACCTTTTCCCGATTAAACCCGCCAATTTAGCATCTAACATGGTTGGATTGACTTCTTCCATTGAACACAAGGGACTTACATTAGTTTTTGGACCACAAGACCCCAATCTTGACGATGAGCCCTTGAAGGCACTTCGGACAACCTTGTTTGGGACCCCAGATCTCCAGTGGATCGTGGAAATCTTAAAGCAATTACCACAACAATGGCAAAAGATTTCGAAACTGCATCCGGATTTGAGGGCATTCCAAGGTCAAAGGTATTTGCAGCTCTTGAATGAATGGATCAGACAAGGCGCATTACCTACGAATGCGTTTCCATTGCCCAATATACTCATTACGCCGTTGGCTGTGACAGCACACCTTGTTCAGTATATACAGTTTGTAGAGAAACTCAACGCGGCGGTCAAACCAAATGAGAGTCTGCAGGATATTTTCGAACTTGATACGGAGACAGTGGGTGTCTGCACTGGACTCTTGAGCGCCGCTGCGGTAGCAAGCTCTGCGAGTCTGGCAGACCTTCGAAAGCATGGCGCGGTCGCTATCCGGATGGCCATGGCTATTGGGGCGCTTGTCGATGCTGGTAATACAAACCTCGATGGTGGAGACAAGTGGCAGTCCCTGGCAATCAGTTGGAAAACCCACAGTGCTGAGACTGAATTTCACAGGATCCTGGAGGAATTCCCAAACGTGATTCACACCCTTCCCAAGATTCCATCTAATAGTAATGGGCTAATGGGATTTGTACTAGGCATATGTGTCTGCCATCTCCGCGGCTCGTCTTGTCACCTTAACCATGTTGAAAGCGGATATACCTGAGATGTTGGAAAAGTTAAAAGATGCTGATCTTTCCTTCACAAAAGCCGCTTTGCGTGGGCCATTTCACTGCCGGGAGCGCGAAGAGCAGGTAGCCTCTCTCTTGCATATCTTTGACTCGGATTCTTCCTTTCGATTTCCGCACACCTCACAACTTGTCTTCCGAACGCGCTCAACCGATGGTAGGCCCCTTAACGCCAAGGACAATCTTAACCATACGACAGCCCGCGCAATCTTGACCGAGCAAGCCAATTGGTACAGACTTTTTAATGAGCTGCATGAAACAACCTCTGCCTCTCGGCCTTCCCTCGTTGTCTGCTTTGGAAGTTGGGACTTTGTGCCTCAATGGCTTATCCGCAAACTCGGGGCCAAAGTGGCATATGCCAACGATGTCAACTTTGAGACGGGTCATCGCCTCTCCACGCTGGATACTTTGAGGGATGATGACACCTATGCGCTGATACACGAGATTGCGGAAGATCTCAAGGGTAGTGCCAAGTCTTCTCTTAGCCTTCCCCATGTTGAAAGCCCAGTGGACATCGATAATGTACCGCTTTCCGGACAAATTCTTGCCGGTTCCATAGTCGAGGCCTTCACGCAGGCAAAATTACTAACCGATAAATTCATTGAATCAACCGGTCTGTCCGGATATTACGATAATGTTCAACCAAGGTTGACTGAGCTAGTGGTCGCCTACACACTTGATGCTTTTGAACATTTGGGGTGCTCACTTCGCGTTGCACAGTCCGGACAGACACTCCAACGCATCCCACATCTCCCCAAGCATAACAAGATTGTGGATGCTTTGTATAACTTGTTGCAAAATGCTCAATTTTTGGATCTGAATGGCTCTAGTATAACTCGGACAGCCATACCGCTGTCACCTATATCTGCTTCACAGCTGCAACAGGAGTTTCTATCCGAGTATCCTGAGCACGCCATTGAGTGTAAACTCACCAGCCTTACCGGGGCAAGGCTAGCTGACTGTCTGTCCGGCAAGGTAGAAGCTATCGATCTCCTTTTTGGCACTGAAGAGGGCCGAGAGCTCGCCACCGACTTGTACGGGAAAGCCCCGGTTAGTGTGGCCTGGTTACGCCAGCTGCAATATTTTTGGGAGCAGCTATTAGCCCATCTACCACAGTGGCAGCAGAGTCCAATTAAAATATTAGAAATAGGTGCCGGTACAGGAGGTACAACGGCAGCAATGATACCTCTCCTCGCCCGCTCTCATGTTCCCGTCCACTATACCGCTAGCGACATTTCCCCTTCATTAGTTGCAGGGCTCAGAAAGCGATTCAAGGACTACCCTTGGATGAGTTTCGAGGTTGTTGACATCGAAAAGTCTCCACCCCATCATCTTCTGGAAAGCCAGCATGTTGTACTGGCGAGTAATGTTATACATGCCACCCAGAGTCTGGCCGTTACTACCAAGAATATCCACAGCGTTCTCCATCCAGATGGCGCCCTTGTTCTACTAGAGATGACCGAGGCGCTTCCGTGGGTTAATTCAGTGTTTGGACTGGTTGAAGGGTGGTGGCTCTTCAATGATGGTCGACACCATGCCCTCGCCGAACCCGATTTGTGGGAGAAGATTTTGCATAGCAACGGTTACGGCCACATCGACTGGACCGACGGTCAACTCCCCGAAAATCCGATTCAACGCATAATTCTCGCACTCGCTTCTGGACAGCATGAGCCGAGTATCTAGCTACATTGAACTCCACAGCCAAGGTTGTTACTTTTCAAAGCTTTGATCTCTAAGTTGCAGTATATCGAGGCTTGAATTTCGCTGTAGACAGAACCTCCTAGGTTATGAGCTCTACACTGTTTGTATCTTTTCAAATTTCAGAGGAAATACGTCATGCGGTTTGTGTGATGATCCTATACACATTGGAAAATAATATCATTCATATCTAAAGTGGCGATCTACCGAAAAATCAAACGTAGAGAAGGAAAAGAGAAAGAAAGAATTCTATCATACAGGAACTATAGGATTTTATGTTGTAGGAACGGATCAACAGTGAATAAAGTAGACATGGTGCCTCAGGCAGGATTCGGCCTAGGCCCTAACAGTTTGGCGTATTGGTAGCCTGAATTTATTCAGCCTGGACAAGATTGTATATTCGTAGTTAGACATAGCCATGTCAGTGCCCATGTTGTCGCGACCACCGCGGCTGGTTTCATCCAGAACGATGGCCTTAAAGTTACAATCCTTGCCACGCTTCGTCACTTTGTGTAAGGGTTTAACCTAGATCTCAATCAAGATTATAAACTGGTAGAGCCTAACTAAGTTTCTAGCTATGCAGGCGCGTCGCCAATGAGACAAAATCTAGGCCGTACGCCATGTAAGACCCTCAAACCTGTTATGGGACTGACTTACACACAGCCCTATGTCATGGGAGTCTGCCTAAGGCATAAATGCCAAGCCTTACCCCACAAATATTTTGTACGACGCGTTATTCTTGTCAATTAGCTATTTCTCCTCTAATAAGCACTTTCTAACTGATTTCTAACTGGTCCTAAACTACTTGTAGAATGAAGACGATGAGCTGAAGATTTACTATGGTGAACTCTTCTGTCGGGTCCCGGACTGCGTGAGAGCTCAGGTGAGTATATTTACTGTCTATCTAAGTGCTTGCTAACTGGTTGGGAACTGCTTAGAAGAAATATACCGCGACGAATAATCTCCGTACCCATTTGCTCATCCATGATGGCATCAAACTGGAAGAGGGCCTGGTTGGTGGACGTGTCACACAGAAGGAAATGGATAAGGCAATCAGTAGGTAATGTCAACTGATTATAGAGTACTTGGGAACTGATTAGGAACTGCTTAGAGTTCTACAAAAGTCTTTTCTCTGGTGCGGAACCCCAGAAGTCAGTAGAGGGTAGTGCTTCTAGCGCTCAAACTGCTAGTCCTTCCACTCCCATCCTGCCCATGAAAAAGGATGGTACTCTAAGTAGTTCTGAACTACCTCTAAAGTACGTAATAAGTGCTTGCTAACTGCTTAGGTTCATGTGACTAATATGCGCAAGTAAGTTGTTGAGCTTAGGCATAAGGTGCCTTGTGACTCTTGTGGAAAGCGCAATGACTGCTGCAAGGACGTGAACAAATGTGATTATTTTATTCCCTTTGATTGTGGTTCGGTCTGCCCGACTCCTGCGGATGAACTAGGTGCTGAGGCCTGAACTAGTTTATAACTGGTTTGCAAGCAGTTAATAATCTTTTCATTTTTCATAGTTAATAAGTATCGCGGATTACTTCTTAAAAGAGTAGTAGGTTAAAGAGAAGGGTTAAGTAATTAAAACAGATTAGAAAACAGTTGCTTTATAATATTAGTGAAAGTAAACTCTAAGAGTAACTATGCGGAATATATATATATATAAAGAGTGGTAAACACCAAGTAATTATTAACCAGTTACTAGGTAGTTACAAACTGGTTATTAACTACTTGATTGTCGCTCCTGCATTTGAATTCGCCGCTCCATAAGATCTAGTTCTAACTTCTCATTCTGAAGCTGCTTCAGGCGAATTTCCTCCTCCTGCTTTTTTAGTTCTATTTCCATTTTTCGAAGCTCAAGCTCCTGACGTCTCTGCTCTAAATTTAGTGCATTTATTGAGGCAACACGATGTAGCGTCTGTAAAGATTGTATAGACCTAATTAGTTAGTAAGTACTAAAGAAGTATTTTCCAAGTACTTAGAGATACTTACTCATTATCTTCTCTTTGAGAGGAAGATCTTGAGACAGCTGGTCTTTCACTATCTCTAAGTGATTGTGAAGTACTTTGGGCTTCAGAAGTACTTGAGGACATTGAGCGTCGGCGCTTACGGCCTCCTAAAGTAACTGGTTAGTAATTACTTGGTAACTAGTTAGACATTTACTTACTTTCTCGACTCATATGCCGTAGGTAATTTGTCTCCATATTTGATGTCCGATAAGAATGATGAATATTTAACTGCTGGAAATTTTGATATTGTAAGATATCATCCTTATCCAGTTTAGCAGAACTATAAATATTAGTATTTCTTAATATAAGTGCTTAGGAAGTGGTTAGAAAGTACTTACTTCTTTACTGCCTCAAGTAATGTTAAATATTTTCCAGAGGCATATGACTTTTGATGTGATTGCTCAACTGCATTAGTATGATTGCGTAATAAATCAAAATAATAAGGTTGAATCTTAGAGCATGCTTTATTTAAGCCTGCTTTAATTACTGGACTGTTTTTCTGCTGTGCCCAGTTTCTAACATTCTGATTTTCATACTCTAATAAGTGGTTAGTAAGTGCTTAATAGGTACTTGGTAGGGGAGTAAATACTGATTAGTAGCTTAAGTAATTCATTATACTCAGCCTCTGATTTACAGTCTAATAGACTCATCATCCGGCTCCAAAGAGGGGTTCCCTGACTTCTAGTACCAAGTACCTTTAAAATTGATCGTTGAAAATGAACACGGCAGAATAGAATTATGTGTTCTAACTGCCATGTTTCATCTCGGTGTTCAGGATCAATCTCAGAGAGATATCGGCCCAGACCTTAACCAGTTACTAACTGCTTTAGAAACACTTAGAAACTACTTACCTGAGTATTGTTTGGAGTCCATATCAATAATAATACCATATATTCCAGAGCCATGAATAGAGTTAAATAAGACTGGCTGTTGTAAAACCTTCTGAATCATAGTAAAGACCCTTTTAAAGAGTAGATAATATCCTTCAGCAGAATCTAGACTTGTAAAGACTCGAAGTAATGTAATAACTGTTTAAGAACTACTTAGTAACTAGTTACTAAGTAGTTAGGAATACTTACTTTTGCTTTGGTCAGGTAGAAATGTTGCAAAAAGCACCTCGTTCATATTCTTTGAGTGAATTTGCTTGAAAGACATATCTACCTCAAATGAAGAAAGCTTAGCTAGAAGCTGAATCTGCTCTTTATAGGCACATAAAACCATAGTGCCTTGAGAGTCATGAAACACCTCCTGGATATAGCTCTAGATTCTAGATAAGTATATAAAAACTAGTTTCTAACTGGTTAACAAGTACTTACCTTAATATGTTGGTCCATCCTTTGTAGAAATATAAGCCCATTAATATCCTGACCATTTGGATATGAAAGCAGCCGTTGTTTCTGAATAATTGCAGTAATTCTATCCTTATTACAGAAGCTAGAGTGAATCTCTGCTAGTGTAGAAGTATTATACTGCTTACAGAAGGCTTCAAGCTGGGGACTTCGAAGGAATTGTGCTATACCAGCTAGTTAGTAACTAGTTATTAACCAGTTAATAAGTACTTACCAGTTGTCAGACTTGGATCCTGAATTTGCTGGATAATCTGCTTAACTGCTTGTAGAATCCGTTCAGGTGGTTTAGTTGGAGGTGGTGGAGGATGCTTATGGACACCGTGAGATGTAAATAATATATATGGACATTGAGAGATATCCACAGGGATTAAAGCATTAAAGATAACATTGCAGGGGGTATGCTTTAAACGTCCAGAGCCCTGTGGATGATCACGATCTAAAATAATTAATAACTACTTATAAACTGCTTAAGAACTACTTACCACAGTACTTTCGTCGAGATGATAGTGGTTCAAAGGAACCACACTCTGCAGATGATGGTAAGATATCTTTATTAAAAAGATCCTCTAGAAATTCAAGATTAATAGCTGCATGACCTTGAACTGCCCCTCGATGATGCTTTGATAAGAAATCATATGTTTCATTAACACATCCGATATAGGGGGGATATTCTCCATGTATATTCTTAAGTAGTTAGAAACTAGTTTAAAAGTAGTTAAGAAGTACTTAAACATACCACTTGTGAGTATCTTTTGAAGACTGGCTTGCATGTTGGGAGCTGGTTAAGACAGGCATAGCCCTTATTAAAAAGAGTAATCTTTGAGCGGTAGTAGCTATAAGCAGTTAGAAACCAGTTCCTAACTAGTTATATTAATATTACCTGTAGGCATTCCGCTTGCGAATATCTGACTCAAGGATTTGAATCTGACGCTGAGATTCCTGAATTTTTTCCCAGATAGCCTCATCAACAGATGTATGATGACAAGATAAAAGAGTTGGGCTAAGATATTCGCATGCAAGGATACCAGAGCATTTCCAGGTCCATTTTTTAACCTGGCATGATAAGAAAGGACAATGAATAGGACGTTTCTGTCCATAGCTCTGCTTCTTAGCATATTGACTCTAAGCAGTTAGTAAGTACCTATAAAGCACTAGCCTATACTTACTTCATATGGTATCTGCTCTATTTCAGTCTGTGAGCGTCCCCCTGCTGCAACAACATATGTATATCCATGGATATGACTAGTTGGATACTCTGGAAGGTCATCAATATACTCAAGTTTGAGTGTTGTAAGGGGAGAGTTCTTTGCATTAGTAAGAGGGATAGGTATAGTTGGTTCCTAACTAGTTAGTGACTGATTAAGAACCGCTTCTCTTAGAAAGGGGAAATATACTTCTATTTCTTGGTCAGTGTTCTCCCATCTAAAGAGGTCATCATCAAGACAAATACTAGGCTCAGTAGGTTCCATCTTTAAACTGCTTAAAAACCAGTTCCTAAGTGCTTAAAGAAAATACTGATGTGTAAAGATAAAATAAGTGAAGGTAAAATGAATTCCGGCTACTAATGTAAAGTATTAAATAGGTCACGCGAGATCAAGCTGCTGAGTAATTGGCTTGGCAGTCACGTGTTGG